AGATAGATAGATAGATAGATAGATAGATAGATGATAGACAGACAGACAGTAAGTGCAAAATAAATGTAATCTGTTACAGTTACTGAGAAAAAAATGTGTAATTAAATTACAGTTACTATGAAAATGTTAGCGCACCTTATTTTATTGTGTGTGTATTTCTTGTGTTTACTTGTTTTGTGTATTATTGTATATTAATAATAATATTGTATTATGTAAATAATATTTTATGAAAACAATCGTGGCGATAGATAGATAGATAGATAGATAGATAGATAGATAGATAGATTAACACACTCGATTGACACTTGTTTGTAAAATGTAGAATCCTTTTTTCCACTTTTTTTTTTTTTTTTTTTTACAATAGTACGCTATAATTCAGTACATTACTCTGTACGGTGGCCGAGAAGTGCAAAGCAAATCACAATTCTGAAAACAAAATAACAAATTACAAACGCAAATGCAAGTCTAAAAAACAAAAAAACAATTCAGAAAACACAACAACAATTCAGAAAACAAAATAACAAGTCAGAAAGCACAACATTTAAATATGCCACGAATGCATGAGTTGTCCAATCATATACTTTCACGGGTATATAAAAGGGGACTTTTAAGGCACCGTTGTGTGTTGTGCGTCACTGCCCGAGGCCAGCCCATTCCGGTTTTGGCTCTTCCCATCTCACAGGTATGTGTCTGCTAACTAGTGAGCATCGAGAGGTGTGCTTGAAGTAACTAGTTTTATTCGGATTGAAGTTTTCCGACGGTCAAACGTCATAGTGGTTAGTTGGCGGTTTCCTTTCTCATCCAACATGCTCCGGCTGTAATCCCGTGCCTTTTCGCCGTGTTGATGTCCATTTGCGTGTGCGACCGGACTCGTGACCATAATATACTTTCACGGGTATATAAAAGGGGACTTTTAAGGCACCGTTGTGTGTTGTGCGTCACTGCCCGAGGCCAGCCCATTCCGGTTTTGGCTCTTCCCATCTCACAGGTATGTGTCTGCTAACTAGTGAGCATCGAGAGGTGTGCTTGAAGTAACTAGTTTTATTCGGATTGAAGTTTTCCGACGGTCAAACGTCATAGTGGTTAGTTGGCGGCTGCCTTTGTCATCCAACATGCTCCGGCTGTAATCCCGTGCCTTTTTCGCCGTGTTGATGTCCGTTTGCGTGTGCGACCGGACTCGTGACCATAGCGACAACATGAAGGTATGTGCAACTACCGCTATTGATGTATAGTATTTTAGGTGGTAAATAATTTCATGGTTAATTCTTTTCAGGAGGAATAGTTCGATTAGGATTCAGTGCAGCCTGCGGGGCAACATTCTTTGATGCTGCTGCTTTGTTGACTTCAGTCCCTGTGACTTAAAACTGCTCTTTGGCGTGTGTTTGCGCTGTGTATCGACCTCCTCCGTTAGACCAGTTTTTCTATGTGCATTTGTTTTGTTCATTGCTGATTTATTTACTCTTGCTTTGTGTTTGTATTTGTTCTTTAGTCCGTATTTGCTTTTGTGTTTCTTGTATTTTTGTTTCTTATGGTTTAACCTTGTTTTAGTGTGATTTTGCTTTATCTATATTTCTTTTTGCTCCGCTTGACCTGGGTTTGTTTGTATTTTTGTTTACTTTATTGGTATGTTTATATGAAATTGTAAGGAACATCTACCTCGATTTTATGAGACATTTAACCTCATAGCAGGTGCTTTGATTTTCTTTTGGATTTTGTATTTAAGTGTAAGCATTGTACAATTGTTAGCATTATTTCTTTTGTTTTGAGATTATTTGGTTGATTTTGTCTTCTATTGCAGGAACCGAGGCTTCCAGGCAGGCCGGTAGTAGGTCCTCAAACAATTCGGTGGGACTCTGTCACGGAGTGCAGTGTGTTCACGCTTAATCTTATTGTGTGTGTGTGTGTGTGTGTGTGTGTGTGTGTGGGGTGTAGTGAGACCTATGCACCTGGTGGTTAGATTCTTGCAATAAAGGAGCCTCGCGCTCAGTAAACTAGCTTATCTGCCATAGGTAAGCCTCGGTTTTTGTTTGTTACGTGTGTATTCTATGTTTGTAAATCTAATCCGGTCTACAGTTTAATGATTTTTAAGGTTAGTATTTTATTATTGTTGAAATAACGCTTTTGTATTTTGGTATCCACGGCTCAGGCCTCTGTCTTTGAAACCACATTCCTGTGTGTCCTTTATAGGTGACCAATTCATAATTTATTTTCCCTGTTGGACAGGGTGGCGTAGTCAGCTGACTTTAGAGTTCCCTTTCCGATTATTACTCCCGCTACATTCGGAATAAAAAATACGGGGTGTCTATTTACATTTAGTTAAAAGTGGCCATAAATCATCAGCTTCAGTGGCACAGATGGATAAGCGCATGTTGTTGGCTTTTTGACGCGATCGACCCGGGTTCGATCCTGCTTTTTGCCGAACTTTTTTTTTCCTTTTGATTTGTCATTGTGTTTTCTGACTTGTTATAATGTTTTCTGAATTGTTATTTTGTTTTCAGAATTGTGATTTGCTTTGCACTTCTCGGCCACCGTAGCATTCTTTGCAGTGTATATATTATAACGTCATCAAATGTTTTCAAACAAATATGATGTAATAGAGGGCGCATGCGCAGTTTGCAGCGCACAGCCATTGCGAGAAAAAAGAAAAGGTGATGTTTCTGCTCTGGAGCGCGTTATATACGAATATTTTAATAGTATTCGCGAAGACTAAGATCGAAACCTCTGACTGAGAACATCTCCGTGACTGTCACCTTCTGCGCTCCTCGGGATCCGACCTTCAGCATCACCATCAGTGTGTGTTTACATCTGGACGTGTCTGATATAACAAGTAGTCTAGATAGTGAAGTTGATATCATGCTGGGCGATGCTTTTGGACATCGTGTTGAATCCAGCGTGGAGAATAAAGCAGTGAAGATAAGCAGATCCAAGCAAGCGCTCTTGAAGAAGAGAGGACGAAACGTTCACAATAAACCCAACAAAGCATCAGAAAACATCAGCAAAAGCAGCTTTAAACCTCCATTAACCACCCATGAAGAGCTCAAACCAGCTCAGTCTAAACCAGCCACCAATAAACCGGTAACGGGCTTTATTGCACTGCTAATACCAGGTTTTGTGCATTTCCCTATCATTCTTTATCTTGGACAAAATTAAAACATATATCTGTTTAGTCTGTGGTTAGTTGGTTAATGTGTTTATTATGTTTTTAAAAATAATAGTCTGACTGTAAATAGTCTTGCGTTGGTTTACTTTAGTGATATGGTCAAATTAATGAAAGGTTGTGGGTTTGAATCCCGGAAGTGTTGATCCATAAACCATCACCACCACGTGCTCTTGAATCCTGACAGACACTTCAGCATCACAAGGAGAGACTTCGAGATAATCAGGGGTTCAAGCACGAAAGGTGCTATTTGTACTATCTTTAATATTATTCTTCTCTTTTTTTGAGTGTATGAGCAAATCACAGAGACCCCAAATTTTGCAGGATGGTCCCAAATGTCATTCCTGGTATTCTGAGCCTTTTGGACATCATAAAATGTAGGAAATCAGACCGTTTTTATGTAATCATGATAGGAAGGTGTACACCTTTTTAAAGGGGTCCTATTATGCTCTTTTACAAAGTCTTGATTTTGTTTTGGGGGTGTACTAGAACATGCTCTCATGCTTGGTGGTTCGAAAAACGCATTATTTTTCACATAATTTACATTATTACAATACCTTTCTCCCCAGGCTGGCACGGCAACTGCCACCCTTAAAATGAGCTTTGCCACACCAGTTGCCACCCTAAAGCAGCGTATGGGATCAAAGTGCATTGAGAGTGGAGCAGCGTGATTTGAACTGAAGCGGGGATCTTTTGAAAGTCTGAGAATTCTGGTTTTCGCTCGCTCTCGGAGTGCTCCACTACCGCTCAATCACTAGCACAATTAATGCCTTAACTATAGCCGTTCTAAACTAGTTCTGCCTACAAGGATTGTTCTGCACGCACACATGTACAGACACATAACACGACATGCCGTAGTTCCCTGTGGTCATCATGTCCATGTCGCTGTAGCTGTTGCTCATCATCATCTGACCAGGATGGGTCATTCCACACGTACACGGCAACTGCTGCATAGCACAATCACACATTACTTGTAACATCACATGATCGGAATTAAAAGGGGTCATGAACTGAGAAACCTAAGTCCCCTTGATCTTTTGACAGATAAGAGGCCATTGTACTATAAAACATCCTGTAAGTTTCAGAACTCAAAACGTTCTTGTTAGTATAAAAACAGCTTATATTGAAGGCAGTCTGCCAAAATAACAGCTTTTGTAATGTTCTACTCTATGATGGATAAGCACTGCCTCCGCAGAAGATCAACGCCTGCTTCTACATCACTGCCTGTTTAGCCTCGCCCAGTGCTTCTACATCGCTGCCTATTTAGCCCCGCCCACCGATTCCACATCGCTGCCTGTTTAGCCCCGCCCACCGATTATACATTACTGTGTTAAGCCCCGCCCACCGATTCTACATTACTGTATAGTCCCACCCATCAATTCCACTTCGCTGCCTGTTTAGCCCCGCCCACCGATTCCACATCGCTGCCTGTTTAGCCCCGCCCACCGATTCCACATCGCTGCCTGTTTAGCCCCGCCCACCGATTCCACATCGCTGCCTGTTTAGCCCCGCCCACCGATTCCACATCGCTGCCTGTTTAGCCCCGCCCACCGATTATACATTACTGTGTTAAGCCCCGCCCACCGATTCTACATTACTGTATAGTCCCACCCATCAATTCCACTTCGCTGCCTGTTTAGCCCCGCCCACCGATTCCACATCGCTGCCTGTTTAGCCCCGCCCACCGATTCTGCATCACTGTTTAGTCCCGCCCACCGATTCTGCATCACTGCCTGTTTAGCCCCACCCACCGATTCTACATCACTGCTTGTTTAGCCCCACCCACAAATTCCACATCGCTGCCTGTTTAGCCCCACCCACCGATTCTACATCACTGTGAATTGAGATGGGTTTCTCTGCTAAAATGCTGTATTAACCACAGAAGAAGAAATCATAATAAATGATAACTAAACTGTTATAGCTTACCCTGTTGCTTTGCATCCTCTCTTTGCGCTCTTGCAGAGTGGACAGGTAATTGACAGCGGCGTACTCGATCACAGACAGGAAGACAAAGACAAAGCTGACCCACAGGTAAATGTCCACAGCTTTGATGTAGGAGACTCTGGGCATGGAGGCGTTCACTCCAGTGATGATGGTGGACATGGTGAGCACCGTTGTGATGCCTACAAAGAGATCAGGTTGATCAGTTTATTGTAGACGTTTTATGCAGCGTAATGAAATGATGAAATGACACATGCTGCAGTGGTTTGCAGCAAGATGCAATTACACAATTCATTTGAAACATCTCACCCAGAGGAACCCGTGCAGGAACAGCTCGCCGGTCGATCCAGAAGGACACCCATGACAGCATGACCATCAGAGTGGCAGGAAAGTACGTCTGAAGCAGGAAGAAGAAGATATGACGACGCAGAGTGAAGTTGATGTAAAGACGATTGTACCAACCTGCAGAGAAGATTGAAGAGAAAAACCTGGCCAGTTTTAGTCATTACAAAGCACCAGTGATCAAGGTGTACAGCAGGGTTATTGAATTCTGCTCCTGGAGGGAAACTTAGTCAAACACATCTGCCTGTGATAATCAAGTAATACTCAAGACCTTAATTAGCTGATCCTGATGTGTTTAATTGTTGAGTTGGAACTAAACTCTCCAGGTTGTGGCCCTGCAGGAACAGAACTGAATATCCCTGCTAGAGACTGAATAAACTCAAACTCAAAAACTGCACATTCATTTATCTTTTTTTAAAGCTAGTTTGAACATCTATAGCAGTTTAATGTAGAACATTCTTGCCTTGATGCTGATCTCTCAATAAATAGCTTGTTATCAGTATTAATGTTAACTATATTTGAAGTAAATTTAAGTAAGCAATATGAAATTATACTAAGAATTATACTTCAATCATGACAACTCTGAAGATTTTTAGCATGGTGATGGATATGACAATGTTAATGTATTTGGTCTTGGCAGAATAGATCTGCTATGCTGCTGCTGCTGCTGCTGAATTACTGCTGCTGTTGGTTATTGCTGTAGTTGTAGATTATTGCTGCTGCTGCAAGCAAGTACAGGAACTTGCTACTGCCAATGCATACGGCGATACGGTGCTGTGAGTATTTAAGACATACTGCTGCTGCACAAATAGCATATAAAATAAGCCCCCAACAAAGCTGGAAGAAGAAAAAACAATTAAATATGTACTGTATGCTGCTTGTTAGAAAACACTCTCTGTCTTGTTAAGGTTCCATGATATGTCTCACCCCTCCTTTTTTCCCCTCTCTCTTATTCCCCCTCCTTTCTTTCCCTCTCCCTCTCACTCTCCCTCCTCTATCTGTTCTCTCTCTCTTGTATGGTGTTTTAATGTCTCTTACTCATATTCGAGGTAGGCATGCTTAAATGTATACATTAGTTGCTTGGTTCAAATGCCCAAATAAGGAGATGAATGCTGAACTGTGAGGAGGGTTCAGGATTCTTCGCCAGGAAGTCTATTCCTAATATGTACATGTTTTTCTGTATATGTGGCCATTTTATACAAAACACATGTTCTTGGCCAAACATCCTATATGTGTATGTCATTCTATCCTCATTGGTTAAGAGGGTGAAACTCCCCTCGACATGCCTATATAAGATCTGTATTTCTATGAATAAATTGAAGTATTGAGAATACATTTGAATGTGTGTTTTCTTACTTCCCGGACGTATTTACACTTTAGGAGACTGAGAAGATTTCACGGTGGCAAAGAGAATTTACAGAGGGACCAAATTGTTATTTATTAACACTACTGCTATACAATAATATGCTTTAAATCATCCCTATAAGGCAGAAGAAATATAAAAGATAACTGCCCAAATAAGGAGATGAATGCTGAACTGTGAGGAGGGTTCAGGATTCTTCGCCAGGAAGTCTATTCCTAATATGTACATGTTTTTCTGTATATGTGGCCATTTTATACAAAACACATGTTCTTGGCCAAACATCCTATATGTGTATGTCATTCTATCCTCATTGGTTAAGAGGGTGAAACTCCCCTCGACATGCCTATATAAGATCTGTATTTCTATGAATAAATTGAAGTATTGAGAATACATTTGAATGTGTGTTTTCTTACTTCCCGGACGTATTTACACTTTAGGAGACTGAGAAGATTTCACGGTGGCAAAGAGAATTTACAGAGGGACCAAATTGTTATTTATTAACACTACTGCTATACAATAATATGCTTTAAATCATCCCTATAAGGCAGAAGAAATATAAAAGATAACCCCCCCCCCAGAACAAGCAGACCTATTGCCAAGACATATGTACTGCTGCTGCTCTGGAGAGCCATGAGACCGCGTGTTTGCTATCAATGTGAGCCTGGGCCGGCTTTGCCGAATGGCTTAACACTAGTGCACTATTGCTGTGTGTACCTGATCGGTTGACCAGATAGCTTAAACTAGTGACCTGAGTTAAATGTTTCTGGGCTAATTGAAGGTAGACTAAGATAGAAACGCGCACTATGTGTGTCATTAACAAACAGGAATCACACTGTAGGCTGATAGATGAAGTAAGCCCCAGCAACCACCTGACCCAGGCTCGGGGCAGCCTGAGCAAATAGTTTTAAATTTGTCATTCAAGAGTTGTATTTTTTATTTATTTTTTTCATTAATGTTCATCAATGTTACTGCAATGGAAATACTTACCTTTAACTTTTTAATAAGCTAACAAAATATTTGGTGAAAGAATAAATCACTGTACACCTTGTAGTTGTGGTGTCATGTCCAGGACTAATTCTGCTTCAAAAGCAGCTGCTCATTTATTTTGATAATTTAAAATATTTATATTGCATATTAAGAACAATAATGTTTGCATTGTATGAACACATCATTGCTAAATGCACGGCTCGTTCCAAATTAAAATTCGCAACATAGAAATGCTGTGCATGCTGCTGCTGAGAAAAATCTTGATGACTGAATGCCTATGCAATCTGCTTCTACTGCACAAGAGACTCAACTGCTGTAAGCTCCATTAATTAGGCATATAAGTAGGCGAATGCCTATTTTACTCTAACGCGGTTTCACGTTACGATAGGTAAAGCTGTCCGCAATGTATGCAGTGTGATACGGCCAACGCAACAAAACTTCTGCTACTGCTGCTATTTATAATATTCACTAACATTTCAATACTGAGTTGAAGTATATGCTGTTGCTTTTAATGATATTCACAGTTGTAACGGGGCTGACAAGACGTGAGATGTGCGGATTCATTCGCAAAGCTTTATTTAAGCAGAAGACAGAGACGTGGTCATAACAGGCAGGGTCAAACTATGACAAACAGGTATATGGCGGGCAAAACACAAGAATAGTCCTAGGGCTAGCACAGGTCAACGATCGGCAGACAGAATCAAAAAGGGGCAAGACTAAAGGGGTAAATCCAGGAAAACGGGCGAAGACCAGAAACCGAGAAAACAGGCAAGGCAAGGCAATACTAGGCTAGGCTAGGAGGCTAACAATGGCTCTGTAGTGTAGCTATCAACGGATAGGCGCTAAACAATACTCGGCAGAGGGAAGGGATAAGAGTGAGTGTTAAATAGTGAGGGAGTGATATGAAACAGCTGGGTGCAATCAGTGTTGTGCAATTAGTGAACCAGCTGTGTGCAATCAGTGCTGTGAATGATGGGATATGTAGTCTGGGATGATAGGCAACAGTGTGAGTGCGAGAGTCAATGAAAATGGGAAGGGTGACCTCTGATGGTTAGCCGACGGAAGTTCATGGACCGGATTCGTAACAACAGTGTTGTAGTAGGAATTTACTGTTCGAGCTGTTGCGGTTGTCATATTTAATCAGAATTTGCTAAGCATAATTTACTGCTGTTGAATAAGCAAAGTAATAAATGCCTATTGCACTTTAAAGAGTTAATTTACCCTCCATGAGTTATCACTAAAATGTAATGCAACTAATGCACTTTCTGCAGAGTGAGTGTTAAATAGTGAGGGAGTGATATGAAACAGCTGGGTGCAATCAGTGTTGTGCAATTAGTGAACCAGCTGTGTGCAATCAGTGCTGTGAATGATGGGATATGTAGTCCGGGATGATATGCAACAGTGTGAGTGCGAGAGTCAATGAAAATGGGAAGGGTGACCTCTGATGGTTAGCCGACGGAAGTTCATGGACCGGATTCGTAACAACAGTGTTGTAGTAGGAATTTACTGTTCGAGCTGTTGCGGTTGTCATATTTAATCAGAATTTGCTAAGCATAATTTACTGCTGTTGAATAAGCAAAGTAATAAATGCCTATTGCACTTTAAAGAGTTAATTTACCCTCCATGAGTTATCACTAAAATGTAATGCAACTAATGCACTTTCTGCTGCCGCTGCTATATTAGCAACAATAATAATATGACTTGCTATGCATGCTGCTGCTAATATTATTTCTAACCTTGCATCTGTATTTGCTATGCATGCTATAAAATTAGCCAACATTGCAATCTGAATAGCTATGCATACTGCTGCACAAAAGTACTTAGAATTGCTACTGCGGGTTTTTATTAAATGTGAGGCAAAATCATCACAATTAAAAGAACCAAAGACTTAAACTACTTCAGTCTGTGTATATTGAATTTATTTAATACACGAGTTTCACAATTTGAGTTCAATTACTGAAATAAATGAACTTTTCCACAACCTTCTAATTTATTGAGATGAAGAGTTCTATAAACCCTGTTGAATTGAATAGCAAAGTAATAAATGCCTGTTTCACCTAAAGCGTTCACTGCTATATTAGCAACAATAATAATATGACTTGCTATGCATGCTGCTGCTAATATTATTTCTAACCTTGCATCTGTATTTGCTATGCATGCTATAAAATTAGCCAACATTGCAATCTGAATAGCTATGCATACTGCTGCACAAAAGTACTTAGAATTGCTACTGCCCCTTTATTAAATTAACAAACAACCAATTAATGCTTATTTCGCTTTGAAGAGTTCTATAAACCCTGTTGAATTGAATAGCAAAGTAATAAATGCCTGTTTCACCTAAAGCGTTCACTACCATCCAAGCATTATCTTATCACTGAAATTTCATGCAACTAAATGTACTTTCTGCTGCCTCTGCTATATTAGCAAAAATAATAATTGGATTGCCACGCAGGCTGGTGATAATATTTCTAACATTGCGTCTGAATTTTGCTATGTGTGCTGCTGTTATTAAAATTCACTAAACTAGCCATCTGAATAGCTGCATACTGCTATTAACAATTCGCTAATAACGCGATCTGAATTCTATTATACTGCTACTACACTCCATGAAAGTACTATGATTGCTGTAAGCCCAACTGAATACACAAATAGTAAATCCCAGTTTTGTAGAAGGCTCGGCTCCGAAGCGAAAAGCTGATGTGCGTTTGCACGCGCTCTCCTTTTATACCCGCGCTGCGGGGCGGGGTGCGCGTGGCGAAACACGCACGCCAACTGTCATTGGCTTGTTTAGTTAACACTCGAAGGTGATTGGGCTCTCGGGCGAGATCCCAATTCGTCAGTCACTGACGTAACGTTGAACGTGACTGACTGAATGGGAACTACATTGTACATGGGCTACTGATTTGAAATTATTTATTATCAGTAGTATCTTTATATTTTAAACAAATTCCTGATTAATTACCTTTAAACTGTCACTAAAATTACTTTCATAATGAACTCTTAACTATCGCTGAACCAAGGTAAGGAGTGAAATAGAGCTTAGTAATTATTCTTCTCGCAGATAACCTGTGGTAGTTTTACAACTTGTATGTTTCCTAGTTTAAAAATGTAAATCTGACGAAGGCAATAATGCACTGAAATCAGAGTGAAGACCGTTTACTTATCTAGCTGTTGAGTTTCAGAGAAACTCTGAAAGTGCGCTGCAAAATTTCAAGTGAATGCTAGCCAGCCATAAAAATGCAAGGCAGTAAGCTCATTGGCTGCATATGCAACATGAACCAATCAGCTTGTGCCAAGTCCTTTAACTCTCTGAATATCAGTTACGTTAACAACCCATCAGCCTGCGCCATCTAGAGTTTCATGACTGAACTATACTGTATATTAAAATTGGTGATGCAGAGAGTAGAATCAATTCTTTAATATTGTGAAATATATTCACGTGAGACAGATTATAAAAAAAGAAGAAAACAAATGCATGGAAAGGGCCTGTTCAATTGGACCAAATGATTGGAGAATCCCTGTAATTTTACCACAAGATCCAATTATGATATTTTGATTAAAAAAAATTATGAGAAAAAAAGGAAACATATGAATGGATGAATTGTAAATCGATAACAAGCATTAAAAAAAAAAAAAAAAAGTGATGCTTTACCACTATTAGGGTGGTGCCAATGTGACGGGGTTTTTTAAAAAATCTTTGCAAAGCATCCCGTTTTGATTTTCACAGTCAACTATAAACAGAAAAATGATTTAAAGTTATATCACTAGTTTAAGTCATGGGTGTCCAAGTCCTGTTCCTTGAGGGCCACTGTCTTGTAGAGTTTAGCTCCTACACACACACCTGAAAGTGTCTAGTAATCCTGAAGGCCTTGATTAGCTGGTTTAGCTGTGTTTAATTGGGGTTTGAGCTAAACCCTGCAGGACAATGGATTGGACAGCACTGGTGTAAGTGAATAACTGTCCTAACGTTTCAATAACACATTCATTATGGTACTGTCAACTCTTTACTAACGATCACACTATCATCTCAATCAATACAAAATTATTTACATTATTACCATTAGCTTGCAGCAAATGTAGGTTCTTACTTTGGGTTGGCACAGCATAATCTAAATCATGGGTTTTAGATTAATTTAAAGGGTTGGGAAAAGAAAATATGTATGTATCCTTCTAGATACATTTTACTTTTACTTTACCTCTTACTGAACTATCTTTAACTGTTGAGGTCATGCCATTTGGCATCAAAAATGCCAAATAGCTACTTTATCAGTCTTTACTTGTCAGGAATTATAGTATTATGAAACATGACTTAAATTACATGAGACAATACAGAGGATGGTAATGACTGTGACATACCTGTGCTGCTGTAGAAGGCTAGTTTTGTGGTGGTGTGAAACTCCCGAATGAGGAACTGAGAGAGAGAGATCTTCTCATCCGTCTGCAGAGATTTGTTTCCTCTCTTCCAGTACAGCATGAGGTCATCATCAGTATAGGCATCTCCAAACAAAATAACACAAATACATATGAACTCACAAACACGAAGTAAACACAGAATATCCTGCTTTACTCCAAATTACATGACATGAAAATGTTTACATCAGTTGCGTTGTGTTTAGACTCACAGCTCTCAATCTCCAGTGAGCATGTCTGGGTGTCCAGAGGAAAGTGACTGAGATCCATATTGCACATCGCTGTGACTGTAACCCTGTTGAATGTGGTTGGAGTAATTAAAAATTGTGTCACAAATCCACAATATACAGTGGGGGAAAAAAGTATTTAGTCAGCCACCAATTTCTCCCAATCCTTTTCTGGATCATCCAAATGCTCTCTAGCAAACTTCAGACGGGTCTGGACATGTACTGGCTTAAGCAGGGGGACACGTCTGTCACTGCAGGATTTGAGTCCCTGGCGGCGCAGTGTGTTACTGATGGTAGCCTTTGTTACTTTGGTCCCAGCTCTCTGCAGGTCATTCACTAGGTCCCCCCGTGTGGTTCTGGGATTTTTGCTCAGTTCTTGTGATCATTTTGACCCCACGGGGTGAGATCTTGCGTGGAGCCCCAGATTGAGGGAGATTATCAGTGGTCTTGTATGTCTTCCATTTTCTAATAATTGCTCCCACGGTTGATTTCTTCACACCAAGCTGCTTTCCTATTGCAGATTCAGTCTTCCCAGCCTGGTGCAGGTCTACAATTTTGTTTCTGGTGTCCTTTGACAGCTCTTTGGTCTTGCCCATGGTGGAGTTTGGAGTGTGACTGTTTGAGGTTGTGGACAGGTGTCTTTTATACTGATAACGAGTTCAAACAGATGCCATTAACACAGGTAACGAGTGGAGGACAGAGGAGCCTCTTAAAGAAGAAGTTACAGGTCTGTGAGAGCCAGAAATCTTGCTTGTTTGTAGGTGACCAAATACTTATTTTCCACCATAATTTGCAAATAAATTCTTTAAAAATCCTACAATGTGATTTTCTGGATTTTTTTTTCTCATTTTGTCTCTCATAGTTGAGGTATACCTATGATGAAAATTACAGGCCTCTCTCATCTTTTTAAGTGGGAGAACTTGCACAATTGGTGGCTGACTAAATACTTTTTTGCCCCACTGTAGATATATGTGTCCTTTATTTTAGCAGTTTCAGCTGAAAATAATTATACTAAAGGGGGCTGTAACCCCATGAGGAATTAATAAGTAAATAAAATATAAAAAAATCAAATATTATTTCATAATTTCATTCATAATAATCTTATTTGTTTTAAGTGGGATGAATCTTGTTAACAAATAGGCTTTGAACTGATCTGGGACCCTGCATTTTTGCTATCATTTTCAATATGCTTTTATTTCAAATAACCTTTAAATCAGTCATTAACTCTTACACCAAACAAGCAACATAGGCTCATTAGAAAAATATCTCCAATAACTCCAAAACGGTACCTATACATACAATTCACTGCACAACTTTCATTCCTTTTACACAAATTATACTGTCATATACTGTAAACTTGCTTGGTAGCTCACCTAGTACAGTACTGCATTTACATTGTGAAGTGCTCGACTACAAGTCCCATGAAACAAAAATAAAAGAGCTCAACGACTTGTAGAAGTGGGCTAAAATGGTATGGTTGCTTTAGCAAATGTGTTTTTTATCATGTTTGCTTTTGTTAATATTATTAGTTTATGCTGGGATTTAGTGTAGGTGGTATGTACAGTGCCTTGCGAAAGTACTCATACCTCTTCATTTTTTTTCACGATTTGATACATTGCTGCCTTGTGTTAAACTGCTTTAAATTACTTTTTTTCCAATCAATCTACACTCCATATGCCATATTGACAAAGCAAAAACAGAATTGTCACAACTTCGTAAATTTATTAAAAATAAAATACTGAAATAAGTACATTGCATAAGTATCCATACCCTTAACTCAGGGGTTCTCAAACCTGTCTTGGAGGACCCCTAGCCCTGCACATTTTGTATGTCTCCCTTATCAGACACACCAAATTCATGTCTTGCAGTCTCTACTAACGAGCTGATGTGTTGCGTCAGGTGTGTTAGATAAGGGAGACATACAAAATGTGCAGGGCTAGGGGTCCACCAGGACCAATGCCTTAACTAAATATTTAGCTGAAGCACCTTTACAGCCCCAAGTCTTTTTTGTTTGATGCGACAAGCTTTGCTCATCAGCATTTGGCAAGTATCTGCCATTCTTCTCCTCACCTCTTTACCTCTCAAGCTCTGTCAGGTCGGATGGGGGCAGATGCACATTTTCAGGTTTCTCCAGAAATATTTGACTGGGTTCACTGAAGGACATTCACAGAGTTGACTATAAGCCACTCTGGCTGTGTTTAGTTTCATTGTCCTGTTGGAAGGTGAACCTTCTGCCCAGTTTGAGGGTCTGAATGCTCTGGACTGAATTTCCATTACTCTATATTTTGGTGCATTTAGCTTTTCTGAAAAACATCAGACCAGAAAATCTGGTTTCTCAGAGTCTCAGTGTCCTTTATGTGCTTTTTTGCAAATTCCAAGTGTGTTTTCATGTGTTTTCACTGAGGAGAGGATTGAGTCTGGCCACACCGCCATAAAGACTGGATTGGTGGAGTGTTGCAGTGATGTTTGTCCTTCTGTAGGTTTCTCCTATCTCCACATATGATCATGGAGCTCAACTAGAGTGACCATCAGGTTCTTGGTCACCACACCAAACAAAGCCCTTCTCCATCAGTTTCTCAGTTTGTCCAGGAGGCCAGCTCTAGGAAGAGTCCTGGTTGTTTCAAACTTCTTCCATTAAGGGTAACAGAGACTATATGCTTCTGTGACCCTTCAATGAAGCAGATTTGTTTTCTGAACTCTTCCCCATATGTGTGGCTTGACACAAACCTGTTTCTGAGCTCTACACACAGTTATTTTGACTTCAGGGCTTGGTTTTTGCTCTGATATGCATTATCAGCTGTTAGACCTTTTATTAAGACGTGTTCCTTTCCAAATCATACTCATTCAATTGAATTTGTCACAGGTTAACTTCACTCGAGGTGTAGTAACAAAATATGCAATATGAATGCTCCTGAGCTAAATTTCAACTGTCCCAGATAAGGGTATGAGTGTTTATGCAATGGAATCATTTAAGTTTTTTATTTTTAATAAATTTGCAAAGATGTTAAAAACCTGTTTTTTTGTTTTACCATTATAGTGTATGGAGTGTAGATTAATGTGAAAAAATGAATTTAAAGCAGTTTAACACAAGGCAGCAACATAACAAAATGTGAAAAAAATCAAGGGGTATGAATACTTTCCCAAGGCACTGTATTAGGGCATTAACCCTTTAGTGGCAGTTTAAGGACTGCCACAATACGAACAACAGTATAATACCTGTTCTGGATAAATTTAAGCACCAATCACAGGACATTTTACTATGAAAGTGTACGAAATATGCAAGAAGCACTTCTCAAAAGTGTTCAGAAAAAGACATTAACTTAGGTCAATAACTGCCATTTAAGGCCAAGGATCAGGATTGAGGTGGACATACTACATAGCTCCCCAAGCAAAATAATGGAGCTACCACTGTACCATGATAAAAGGCTGGTTAAAAAAGGCTATGCCATTAGATTTGCACTAATACATCTTTGCACAAACCAAGGATTTCTTTCCTTGAAACCCACAATCAGTGACACACACACCTGGATGGAGCTGGATGGAAAGCAATTCCTTTCATCAAGCAGAACCCCACAAACACAGCATAGAAATGAAAGATCAGGGACTTGCTTTCAATGTCTGTCTAATCCCATGAAGTAGCTCCCAATGTACACTTGTCCTGACACTGCAAACCCTGGAAGTCCTCCATTTTTTCTCTTTAGCAACTTTCTGTGCCTACTCCTCACTTTTCCTTGCCTGTATATTCTTTAGTAGAGAACGCCACTGTGCTAAAACATCTCATTGTCCCTTATTCACTCAAAGTACATGTTATTGCTAGTGGAGAATGCGGGCAGCTTTAATAAAAGCGCTAATGACTTCTCATTAACTCGCACATCTTACTCCTGCAGATCCAGCCTCCTATGCCGATCAGGGCTTGACATTAACACCCGCCAACCCGCCAAATGCGGGTGGATTTTAGCAGTGGCGAGTAACACAGTCACTCCCACTAGTCACGCAGCCTGTCTGTGAGAGAACCTCGTGGAGAAATGAAAACAAATGAACCCAACTGCACACAGAAGAAACCTAAAAATGTAACTTAGTTTTTATATTTATTAGGGGTGACCTCAAATAGTCGAAGATTCGATGCTTCGATAGGAGGAGCCTGATTCGACTACAAATCTCACAGTCGAATATTCGCGGGGTGTTATGATCATGCCATTTTGGCTGTATGGGGGTGCTCAAATGTCTGATTTCACACAGAACTACTGGTTTTCTCCCGATAAGTTAATATACAACCTATTAAAATAATGCTGTAAATAAGAATCTGAAAAGAAAGAAGCTTCAAATAAATATTTAAACATGCGTGAATAAATCCAACCACTCCTATAGATTTAAGTTTCACTTTCCATAATCCGTGACCGACAGAGGAGCATCTTGGCGGCAGGGATTTCAGGGCTTGGTTTTTGCTCTGATATGCATTATCAGCTGTTAGACCTTTTATTAAGACGTGTTCCTTTCCAAATCATACTCATTCAATTGAATTTGTCACAGGTTAACTTCACTCGAGGTGTAGTAACAAAATATGCAATATGAATGCTCCTGAGCTAAATTTCAACTGTCCCAGATAAGGGTATGAGTGTTTATGCAATGGAATCATTTAAGTTTTTTATTTTTAATAAATTTGCAAAGATGTTAAAAACCTGTTTTTTTGTTTTACCATTATAGTGTATGGAGTGTAGATTAATGTGAAAAAATGAATTTAAAGCAGTTTAACACAAGGCAGCAACATAACAAAATGTGAAAAAAATCAAGGGGTATGAATACTTTCCCAAGGCACTGTATTAGGGCATTAACCCTTTAGTGGCAGTTTAAGGACTGCCACAATACGAACAACAGTATAATACCTGTTCTGGATAAATTTAAGCACCAATCACAGGACATTTTACTATGAAAGTGTACGAAATATGCAAGAAGCACTTCTCAAAAGTGTTCAGAAAAAGACATTAACTTAGGTCAATAACTGCCATTTAAGGCCAAGGATCAGGATTGAGGTGGACATACTACATAGCTCCCCAAGCAAAATAATGGAGCTACCACTGTACCATGATAAAAGGCTGGTTAAAAAAGGCTATGCCATTAGATTTGCACTAATACATCTTTGCACAAACCAAGGATTTCTTTCCTTGAAACCCACAATCAGTGACACACACACCTGGATGGAGCTGGATGGAAAGCAATTCCTTTCATCAAGCAGAACCCCACAAACACAGCATAGAAATGAAAGATCAGGGACTTGCTTTCAATGTCTGTCTAATCCCATGAAGTAGCTCCCAATGTACACTTGTCCTGACACTGCAAACCCTGGAAGTCCTCCATTTTTTCTCTTTAGCAACTTTCTGTGCCTACTCCTCACTTTTCCTTGCCTGTATATTCTTTAGTAGAGAACACCACTGTGCTAAAACATCTCATTGTCCCTTATTCACTCAAAGTACATGTTATTGCTAGTGGAGAATGCGGGCAGCTTTAATAAAAGTGCTAATGACTTCTCATTAACTCGCACATCTTACTCCTGCAGATCCAGCCTCCTATGCCGATCAGGGCTTGACATTAACACCCGCCAACCCGCCAAATGCGGGTGGATTTTAGCAGTGGCGAGTAACACAGTCACTCCCACTAGTCACGCAGCCTGTCTGTGAGAGAACCTCGTGGAGAAATGAAAACAAATGAACCCAACTGCACACAGAAGAAACCTAAAAATGTAACTTAGTTTTTATATTTATTAGGGGTGACCTCAAATAGTCGAAGATTCGATGCTTCGATAGGAGGAGCCTGATTCGACTACAAATCTCACAGTCGAATATTCGCGGGGTGTTATGATCATGCCATTTTGGCTGTATGGGGGTGCTCAAATGTCTGATTTCACACAGAACTACTGGTTTTCTCCCGATAAGTTAATATACAACCTATTAAAATAATGCTGTAAATAAGAATCTGAAAAGAAAGAAGCTTCAAATAAATATTTAAACATGCGTGAATAAATCCAACCACTCCTATAGATTTAAGTTTCACTTTCCATAATCCGTGACCGACAGAGGAGCATCTTGGCGGCAGGGATTTAAAACTTTAACAAGACTCAAATTGTCACAGGCAGAGTGAAAGACTGAATTTTTTCTGGACATTATGTTGTATAAATAATGAAGCATATTCTATATGAGATAAATTATTAGTTAAATCCCATTGATGAAAAACCTGCTATCAAATGCGTCATTCTACTGGTCATCTTCAGCGCACGCAGCTCAAAACAGAAATGCAGAACATTAATAACTACTGTCATATACATAACATTATAATGAGAGCACTATTGTAAAAAATGTTGTGAATTTTTAGGGTTTCGCTGACGTTTAATGTTAACTATCTTTTAATCAAAACATAAAACATTATTTACCCCATTTGTATCTGAGAGGTGTCCGTTACACATTTTCCCTGTGTGTTAACGTAATTATGACTGTCGAATGTCTGACTTGACTCTTGGTAATGTATTTTGCCCCGCCCCCAAAACACATGGTTTGACTATCAGTCGAATATCGGCAAGATTCAAAAATTCAGATTCAACTATGAAAATCCTTAGTCGAGGACACCCCTAATATTTATAACATACAGCCTAGTTAAGCAACATGACGTGACCAAGAGAGTGACGTTTTCCCTGAAAACCACGATTACAAATTTGACATTTTATACAAGAGTTAAAACGAGTAGTTAATATACATTTTAGTTCAATATTTGAATTTGAATTTATTGAAAGGATATATTGTCAACTTTGACTGTTTTTGCTCGATTAGGTTAATGAAAATAGTTCTGAACAAAGATCAGAGCAGAACAGTCGCGCATCTCTGAGCAACACACAGCGGTTTTTTGTTACTGAATGATTTGCGTTTTTGAATTTTGAATCATTTGAGTCATTGATTCAGTGGTCCATTCATAAAGACAGGTACTTGCATCATTCTTGCTTCATCAGCCATCTGAACGAATCATTTGAAGGCATGCTTTAATGACTATTAGGGAAAAATCTGCTTCCAAGTCAAAATTATTTAATGTACACAGAAATTATTCACATTCTGAAACACCTCATAAGAGAAACTGTTGCACAACTGATCTGAGGACATGAAGAGAACTCTGCCGCACATAAATAAATCATGGAAACTGCAACCATGGTTGTCTTGGCTGTTGTGGAGATAGCACACACACACATCACACAGCTAAGAAGCCTTTGAAGAAAAATTTGGAGAAAAATGGAAGTAAAAAAAATCCATGTTTTGGGCACAATCTCCACTTTTCTGTGAACGAAGCATTAGGAGTAGACAGGGTCTGCATATCTCCAACAATGTTTTTTTTTTTTATCAAGGTGCTGCTGTCGGTGGAGTCAAAAGATAATTACATCATCATTAACCTGCAGGCTGCACTCTGCGAGTGGGGCTGCGAGATAATAATAAATAAAAAGTGTGGGGCTGCTGTGAGTGCAGGCAGTCTATAGGCAGCATCCATATTTCAGCCCAGTGGCATGACAACACTGGCCCTCGTGGCCAAAAAAACCCAGACCGGCCCACCAGGAATTCTCCTGGTGCCCCCAATTAGCCAATCTTTATTTGTAAGCAAATACAGCAGCCTACCTTGATTCAAGGTTTGACAGCATTGTGGCAAAAATGAAGTCAAACAAAGTTTCTATGAGGTGAGGAAAACAGACCCGCTTGGTCTTGGACTAGTAAATTCAAGATGTGATTAGCTAAACGCTGAGCTCTTGGTGTACAACCAAATGCCAGAAATAGGAGAATCCACTTTTTTATGGAATAAATAATACAAACCTGATTCCAAAAAAGTTGGGACACTGTACAAATTGTGAATAAAAACAGAATGCAATGATGTGGAAGTTTCAAATTTCAATATTTTATTCAGAATACAACATAGATGACATATCAAATGTTTAAACTGAGAAAATTTATCATTTTAAGGGAAAAATAAGTTGATTTTAAATTTCATAGCATCAACACATCTCAAAAAAGTTGGGACAAGGCCATGTTTACCACTGTGTGGCATCCCCTCTTCTTTTTATAACAGTCTGCAAACGTCTTGGGACTGAGGAGACAAGTTGCTCAAGTTTAGGAATAGGAATGTTGTTCCATTCTTGTCTAATACAGGCTTCTAGTTGCTCAACTGTCTTAGGTCTTCTTTGTCGCATCTTCCTCTTTATGATACCTCCAGCTGTTCCTTATATGTACATTTAACTTTTCCGGCCTCTTATTGCTACCTGTCCCAACTTTTTTGGAATGTGTAGCTCTCATGAAATCCAAAATGAGCCAATATTTGGCATGACATTTCAAAATGTCTCACTTTCAACATTTGATATGTTATCTATATTCTATTGTGATTAAAATATAAATTTATGAGATTTGTAAATTATTCCATTCCTTTTTTACTCACAATTTGTACAGTGTCCCAACTTTTTTGGAATCGGGTTTGTATATATACCTGATAAGGAATTAATATGAAGACATTATGCATTCAGAAAGTATTCAGCTCTCTTCATTTTTCCACTGTTACAGTGCAGTCTTTTAAATTTTTTATGAATTTGTAGTTATGGTTTTTGATTTGTCGTTTTGGGTGTACACTGATGTAAAAAAAAATCTATTACTAAAAGCATTTTAGATTATCTGCATTAGTCTGCATCATAACAAACTGTGGAAAACGGAGGGGGTTAGAATCCTTTCTGAATGCACTGTATATAGCAAAACCCTACAGACCAGCCATCTGGTCTTGGATAAAAGGACAGATACTAGATTAAATGGTTGAGAGGGTGTAGGGAGGAGCTGGCATAACAGATTGATTTATAGATTGCAAATCGAGATGTACATAGAAGAATAAAGTAATTTAGTCCAGCAGACTGGGTGTGGGAGGGGTCTAAGATTAAAACTCACCAATGAGCCAGCTTTGTGTCTGAATCTACATGTGGCTTGCATTAATCCCACAGATTCCCACATATTAATCCACACATTCACTCATCTAGAGCAAAAACCAGGATCAGCACCTCCTAGAGATGACAGATCTTGGTCAAACAAAAAACCGTAATAGCAAACATGGAGATACTAAATGTCAAAAAAGTCTTTGTTGGTTTATATCAAAGAGCGTTGATGGAAAAACAAGATATTTTTGTTTACTGAGCAAATCTGAGTCTCTGAGTCTCTATGTCATACATTTACAGCAAAGCTGGATGTAACATAACTATTCTGATGGCTGGCAATCTGTTTCTCGAGCTTTGATTTGGATTAAATTGAGCGTTTCCACTGTTCGGAGAGGTCAATTGTTAAAAAGAAAAAGCAAAGCCTCAGTAAAATGTCAGAGCTTTGTGGTACGATCCTCAGAATGCATGTGGGTGTGAGTGATCTGTGACACTTACCTCAAGCTGTAGAGCACTTTGCCATCAGGATGCACTCGGAGCATGACGTTCTCCGTGGTGGTGTCATGGATGAAGGATCGTTTGGAATGGACAAAAAATATGTCAGGTACCCAGATTTTCTTCACCAGCCGGCCATCAAAGGTCATGCTCTGGTTGGTGTTACTGGGAAAGGACAGTCGCTCATCCTTCCAGTAATGTCTCAGGTACAGGGTCATGGTGAAGTCCTGAAGCATACGATCCAATCAGCCATTCGTCTTAACATAAACAGTTTAAACAGTAGCCTCATTTCTATCCCAAGAGCCCTCTATATAAGAAAAAAACTGGCTATTTGTCAACACATCTAGGGTGCTTGGAAAGGTTACTGGTTGCTGAATTTGAGCTTTTGCGCTAATCCAAATCATGTGGCACAATCTCAGAGTGGAAAAGATCAGGATAGCACTGAAGCATTCATGATGCACTCTGAAATCTGTAAGCCATATTTAAAAACACACGTGCCAGTCTCCTACCATATCTACTTCAGAGATGGTGTCCAGACTCTCAAGCTGAACATCAACACCCACGGGTATCGCAGGCCCTGAAATGAAGAAAAATTTGCTTTAAACAGTCTTCCAATGCACTAGTTGTAAAAATGTGATAGATTTTAACTTAAAGGGGGTCATGTGATGCAATTTCAAGTTTTCCTCTCTCTTTGTTCATGTTCAGCTGTAACATGAGACTAAAGTCTCAAACTCAAAAGAGAGATATTCTTTATAAAAGTTAAACGGCTTCCTAAAACGCTTCATTCAAACACACCCCCACATATCTACATCACGGTGTTGGAAGATGTGCATAACACCACCCAAATGTTTACACAAAGAAAGAATGTGTAACTTTTATTCTTGCTGTAGTATTGTCGCTGCCACCTTGTCATGGAGATGCTATGTGTTTCCAAATATGGTAAGGGGCGTAACATTTCCGTCACACGCTTGAGGTATCCGGCCAATCACAATGCACTGCATAGCTGGCCAATCACAGCACACCTCGCTTTTCAGAACGATGAGCTTTGCAAAAATCGACTGAATCGTTTCAGAAAGGCGGGGCATAGAGGAGAAACAATAATGTACAGTATGTGGAAAATAATGTTTTTTTAACCTTAATCCGCGTAAACACATTGCAATACACCAAATACACAAAATAATTTTCTTTTTAGCATCGTTATATGACCCCTTTAAAACACTACTCAGCAAGTCTATGCATTCATTAACCACTTCAATAACATTATAGTTATTACATTAACATAGTGTGATCTAAGCAAAAGCTTTTGATAGATTAGGTCTATGCTCATCTGGATGCATGCCACATCGGCGGGCTTAAGGTGGTCAGGCTGGTTTTGGAACGTGATAACTGGTTTGTTATTAGTACAAGGTGGTCTACCACCCCATACCATCATACCAAACCAGGGTGATCAAGGTCTAAGACAAGGATGCCCAATCTAGCACCTTGAGGGCTACTTTCCAGCGGAGTTTAGCTCCAGCCCTAAATAAACATGCTTGAACCAAATAATCAAGGTCTTCAGGATCACTACAAAGGTATGTTGGAGCAAGTGCTAAACTCTGCAGGACAGTGGCCCTCCAGGATATGATTTAACCTGGGCTCCACCAGCTGCTAGTCTATCTGATCAATCATCTAGATCCACTTGGAGCAGCTGATCTGAGTAGCACATTGACTGCCATATGGAATCGCATGTTACAATATGGCTATCCAGGCCCTTTATATGACATGAACATGTAATATAAAGATTAGTGAACAGATTTAAAATCTTTACTTGTAAGCAGCTGTTACGTCATCTAAAGATAAAGAGGAATGTTACACAAAACAAAACACTCAAAAAATGCAATTTCCCACAAATACATACATTTTGTAGTTGACCATTCAGTCACCTTTTAAGTACCACAGTAAAGGTCTTTGTAATTATAAAATGATGTGCCTGTCCATTTCTTTGAACACTTCAACAGCATTTCATATAGAAGATTAGCTTAAAGGGGTCATATGATGCTTTTTTAAAGATCATTATTTTGTGTATTTGATGTAACAGAATATGTTGACATGCTTTAATGTTCAAAAAACACATTATTTTTCAACTACTGTACATTATTGTAGATCCTCTATGCCCCGCCTCTCTCAAACGCTTCGTTTTCACCAAAGCCCCCTCCTTTGACAAGCGCAGTCTGCTCTGATTGGCCAGCTGACCCAGTGCATTGTGATTTGCCGAAAACCACAAGCACGCGTCGGAAATGTAACGCCCCTTACCATAATCGCTTCAGCTTTCAAAGTAAATATCAAGACAGTTAATAATGTCGTTAGTTTTACCATCAGTTCAAGCCCGAAAGAGGGACAGAGTCACGTGACAGACACAGTGATGATGCAGTACACAAGCCACGGTTAAGACAGCTGACGTGCTATGATTTCTGACAGACTGCTCACTCTCCTGTGATGTGACCCTGTTCCCCTCACACACACACACACACACACACACACACGGCGCGTTACTCTGCGCTGCGCAAAACTCCGCATTTGAACAGTCAATAGCAAATACTTAAACTAATAACAAAACATACTTACAGTCACTGATTCAGAAGCACCAGATTGTCATAGCAAAGTTTTTTTTCTAAAAAATTTTTTAGAATTAGCCTTTGTGCACAGCCAGCCTCGTACTCTTCTAAGTTCAAAAAACTGTCATCCATAAAATGTGTTGCACAAATTTGAACATCTGGGTTGTGCTGTTCTGTTATAAATAAATCTTAACCAATGATTGCTAATTGCATCTACTTCCGGAAGAACAAATAAAGTGCTTTTGCTTTCGCACTGAAACACACAGCGTCTCCCTGACATGCTGCTTCAACACTACTGCTGTTCCTGAAACCACGCCTTCTTTCTTTGCGTGCACATTTGGGCGGCATTATGCTAATATTTCCACATAGTGACGTAGATATGTGGGGGCGTGTTAGAACGAGCCGTTTTAGGTAGGCGTGGTTAACTCTTAACTTTTATAAAGAATATCTCTTTGGATTTGAGACTTTAGTCTTTGCAACTTTACAGATCTTCTTTATGCACCAAGAGCTTGTAACACTCCAAAGAGAAAGGCAAACTTGATATCGCATCATATGACCCCTTTAAATGCAAGCTATTAAAATTTCTGCCACGTTCTAGTAAATCTGTATGTCCTTGTTTAGCACTCAGCAGTGTAAAAACTTGCATGAAACTTGAGAAAAGCAAAAGAAATGCGCGAAAACATGAAATGTCCTTTCTTCACCTTAGGACAATATTTTCATAACCTTTAATCTGGGTTTGATCTGACCGTAGTATTTACAGTTGGTGTGAACTTTAGTGAAGATACGGGCAGATAAGTGAATGCTTGTGGCACAGAGCCACGGTAAATCAGTGTCATAATCGGGCCTGAGCTTATGTAAAGCTGATTGCCTGTGATGTCAGTTCAAATCCTACACAAATCTGAGTCTTGTGGTGTTTATTAAGATCTGCTGGTATTTCGTATCGGTCATTAATGCATTAATGATAAAAATAGACTGAATATTAATCCATATGCATCACAAATAAAGCCAATAAAGTAATATAACGAGCAAGTAGAAATCAACAACAACAAAATAAAGTATACTCTAAAAAATGCTGGGTTAAATATAACCCAGCGCTGGGTTAAAAAGGGACAACCCAGCGGTTGGGTTCAAAACAACCTAACCGCTGGGTCAAAACAACCCAATAGCTGGGTTTGTCCCTTTTTAACCCAGCGCTGGGTTATATTTAACCCAGCATTTTTTAGAGTAATCGTTGATTGGTTTTGATTTAACATAAATGTAACAATAAAATGTAATGATTACATTTATGTGTTAATTTATATGCTCTTTAGCATAACCAACGATAAACTTTATTATTTACTGTATATCTGTTATGATTAAAATACTTAAACTAGAATACATATTTTGTTTTAGACGACTTTTCTGCATAGCCCATCATTTCTAGCTCTATAGGTAGCCTGGAAACTCTTCAAAAGTGCTTTCAATCTTCTGTTTTTGGGGCTCAACGCATTCTTCTCATCTTACCTCCAAAGCCAGGCCTCATGGTGAAGTCATGGCCATCTAACTTGAGGAGCTGTTCTGATTTCGTAACAGGAGCTTTTGTGACATCTGGACTTCTCATTGGTAAAGTGCTGTTAAACACAAAAAATCACAGTAAATGTCAAAACAGCTCCAATGCAGACAGAATTGGTTGACTGGTTAATTAATATACTAATACTACTTTATATTACATTTAAAAAGCAAGACTGTAAACCTCTCTGAGACCTCTCACAAATCTTAGCAATGTGGTTATATACATATGATATTTTTATAAAAGGTGAGCAAATTAAATTAAGTGTATATTTGTGCTACCTGCCAGGTTTATGTGCTTCTCTCTCTGTTCTGGTGGTTTCTCGTTTGGATCTGATAGGATGCAGGATTTGACATTATTAGATATCAGAACATAACAACAACAACAACAACAAGTCAGCAAATCAATTAGGCACTTTAATGATTATGCTGAATAAATAAATGAATAAATAGCAAGCAAGCATTTTGTTTTTATATTAATACTCTATCCATAAAGGGAAGAGTTATATTCTGCATAAATACAACATCAAAAATAATCAATGAAACAATGTGAGTGAAAAAGGAAAAAAAAAATCTTTGTTTGTTATTTCCGTCTTTTGCTTTAATGATGCTAGAAATGATGATCAGATTTTGAGAATGTTCCAAACAGCATCTTGTGTGTTTTAGCAGAAGCAAGAAAATCTGAGCATCTGTACAGAGGATTTCACATAATCAGTGACACACTGAGCTAGAAATTGTTCATTATGGCATGTTTCATTGTTCTATTTTTTTAAGTTTTATTTATCTTTTTATACAATGGTATTGTCTGCATGAATAAGTTGTGCAGACACGTTTATTTAAAGTAGGTTAATATATTGTGTTATAAATTATACCTTTTCCGATATTTACTTTTATAAAAATCGCAACTATATGGCACAGAAAAAACAGAGATTTGTTAATAAAACAACTAATTTGTGCAAAACTCATCACTCACTGGCAATGGTACATTGACATCCCATCTACCCTTCAGCGCTACCCTACACCTTCTTCTTCAGGTTTTTTTTTTTTTTTCAACGTTTGTCATGAAGAATGGTTGAATGCATGAGTGAGGTGATGCACTCACCTGGTTTGGCTGCATGTCTGAAGCACCTGTCCGCGCAGCTGCAGCGCTCCAGTGGAGAAAAAACACGCGCAAAGCAGAAAGCAGACATCAGCGTGCATGATACCCACATCAACCTACAGCCACGCAAATCCCGTTAAAACTGATTAAAACAGCACTGGAGGACTCTTAAAGACGATCCATTGCCACGGTGCAAGCCTGTGAATACGTGCCATGTACCGCACTCAGATGCGTTTAATCTGCGTTAATGTGAAGGTCAGATCTGCTGTCTGCTGCAGCCTTGCTGTCTCATATCCAGGAGGAGCTTTCGCAGGTTAGAGGGTGAAACAGACATTTGCTGGCTGTATATTATGTAATGTTCGGTGGGTATTACGTGCTATCTGAATTACACTTACATAATCGAGTGGTATAGTCACTCAGCATTGTTCTAATATCCTCCAAATGGTATTTCTGGTGGTGGTGGTTAAGATTCCAAGGGCCCGACGTCAAAGGGGGCCCCCTGAGGGGGGAACACCATTTATGAGGGGTTTCTAACGATGCTGCATGCTTAAATAAACTTGTTTTCCTTTAGCATTCACTTGAATTGCATGTCTATTAAACACATTTTCCACATGAGTCCTAGGGTCTGGTTTGGGTCTCTGTGTCAGAATCCTTTAGTTTCATGATATCTACCTTGTTGTTGTTGTTCTAGTTTTGTTTTACCATGGGCTGTTTTTGTTTTCAGCTCGTTTGGCTGTAGTCTGGCTTCACTTATGTTTTTGCCTGGACAAATTTAGATTTGTATTTTTCCCTTTTATTTATAAAGAGATTGAGTTCAGACAGCCTGTGCTTGAGTTCTGTTATCAATCAGCACAGTGTGAGTACAATGAATGTTCAGATTTGATTACTATAGTTGTCATTTGGTTTTTGACTATATGTATTGATGCAGTCTACAAGTGCAATAAGTGAGGTCGATGTAGCTAGACCTGACCTTCTGATGACACCTGAGTGTATGTCCATGATATCTGGTAGCCCACATTGAATAATGAGCTGCAATGCCTTCCCTGACCCTGTAGAACTTCACGCTACTAGGCGGAGTTACTTCCATAACAGGCTATTATGCAATAAGTTGGCTGTTGTCGGTAGGGAGACTGGCCAAGATATTTAATGTCATGTAGCTATCTTTAATATTTGAAAAAAGGAGGCTCTAACACTGCAGGTGTATGTAGGTGTGTGTTTCATCGTGTCCTTTAATCCTTGATTATCTCCATAGTTTCACAATTGTTCAGTCAGTGGTTGTTGTCCTGACGCACTGTCCTTGTTTCAACTTTCTCTCTTTATACATCCTCCGTACCATCTGTGATCAGGCCAATGACCATTATGTCATCCACAAACTTCAATGACTTGAGTTTTGTAACTCAATCATAGATGCTGTAGGGATTTCTAAATATGAACAGACACTGATATCAGCCATCATGAGGTCCAGATTAATTTAATCAAGAGTTGCCACAGAGAGCTTTTGTATGAGGACTGAAAATACCGCGTGATGCCTCGTGATCCAATGAAAAGAACTATTATATGTATGCACAGGAAGTGGCTATGTTAATCACGCCCTCGGGCCGGCAAGCACGGGATATCTATGCATGACTGTCACATGTCTTGTGACCACCTACTTCCTGCCCTGTCTGAAACCCTTACGTGTCTTGTGTCACAGACAAAGAAACAGAACCTTGCATGACGATTTTAAAAGACAAATCATTTAAAAAGTAGTGAAAATGTATCCACTGCATGTGTTATGCCGTATATATATATATATATATGTGTGATGTGTTTATTGGAATCTATGATATTTTTAATATTTGCCTTATAACACTTTTTAGCAGACAAAGCATTTAATATGCATGTAAGAGATGTGATGTTTAATATCGGGTGAAAGCTTGTCTTATTCGCCGAACATTGGTGTTAGTGAAACTTTTATATTATGTATCATTCTCTGGTGATAATACTTTTATCAGATGTTATTGAAAACTTCCAGAAATACGCCCCACGGAGCATGTGACTTGTGCATGAAAAAAAAAAGAACCACACAGGGCGTGGCTAAGCCCTGCAACAGCGTCCGATTGGAAGATTGCGTCGTGGGGCGGACCTAAGGTCAGCCTGCTTAAAAATGGACACAATGCTCTTGCTCGCAGGCTCGCTCTCTCACTCAAAAGAACTTTGGCTTTCACCTTGGTCAGCGCGACAAAGCGCCCCACGCCGTAACATCGCACAAGCGAGACCATCTAAGAACTCAAACACTTCAGTTGAAGCTTCGTAACTCTGCAGAAAGCAAAGACTTGCAAACTCAGGCTTTTAGCAGGACTGCTGAAGCCTCTTCCGTAACCCGGCAACCAACCAACCCAATGAGGGCTTTTCCAAAAGGACGTCATTCCGACGTCACCGCAACAGCCAATCAGCGAAGGAATTTCCCTCCAGCAGCCATCAAGCAGCCAAACCAGGAAACTCAGTTTTCAGCTGTCAACCCAGCAGAACGCAAGTAAACGAACAAATTCTTATCTCTGCTGAACTGGTGAACGAGCTAATTTAAGCAGTAAACAGAAGCTAAAATTCTCTGCTTCGGGAATTCTCTCAGGTGATTTTAAAACCACTCATGAAAACGAGTTTAGAACTTTGAACATCATGCAACTCCGTTAACTCAATCCTTCAATTTTCTGAGCTGTATATATGTGTGTGTATGTGTGTTTAGCTTAGTTTTGATGTAATCTAGGATAGCCAATAAAATGCATGTTTCATTTATAGAAAATCATTGTTTGGTGTCATATAATTTCAAGGTTAAACCCTTTTTGCCAAAAAGATCCCTTGCTACCTAGCTCGTAGCTTACTTATAATAATTACTATAATAGCTTACTTATAAAATTGTGTTGACCGTGGCCAGGAAAATACATATTCCATTTGTTAAAATATACTGAGGTCACGGCTCGCTGGACAACCCTTGATTTAAAGTGTAAAATAACAAATCTGGAATCAGGTTGAATTAGGCTCTTCAGATCCTAGTCCTCTCAAAACCTGAATAAATAATAATAATTAATTCCCTTATACAATTAATGAGTTAAAATTCATTACAATGCATACACAAAACAGAAGTGGGCCACACACAGAGCCTTGGGGGGCTCCATTGTTGGGTGAGCCTCAATGGAGTATATTCAATTAAAAATGAAGAATTTCTGGCTGACATGATGCTGGATTTACATTCTTGTTGGTTCTGGAAGAACATTACAATCAACCACTCAAATTTTAGGAACATAGTCAAGCTCTTAATCCAAGCTCCTTTCTGTCATTTCATTAAGATTTTAGAGATACATTCATGTTTCACATTAGTGCATTAGTCTTATGGAGGGGGTAGGGCTATATTTGCCTCACATGAATATTGTTCCAGGGCCAAAAAATCTGTCCTTCTAGTCAAAACAATGTTCACCTGATGTCAAGCTGGCTCTATGGCATTACAGTTTACAGTAGTACATTTTCAAAACTCTTAATGATCTCACAACAGATCATCAAAATGTACTTTTTTCCAAACATTTGAGATTATTTTCAATTGTGTTAGTACAATAAACTACAGTAATTGCTGTGAGAGCTTTTAGTCATGATAAAAATGCTAAAAAATATCCCAATTACTAATTTCTTTTACCTGGTGATCACAATTGGATACCATATTCGTACAAATTTCTGTGAGCATTTGCAATATGCAAACATGGAGCAGGTTAGACTGGAAGACCTGCTGCGGATCAAAGAGGTAGACGTGGACCCAGCTAAACAGGTAGGTATGGGGCTCGATAAACAGGTGCTCATCAGAGGAACATAGGCAGAAGACAGCAGCTACACTCATTTTGTCTCTATTTGCTTCTCTGTTTCTGCCACGGGATTGGCATCCCAAGGTAACTTGGAATTACAGAAGCTTCAGTCTGGACCTAACTCTTACAAAGACTTGAGATGACCGAACACCTGAGAAGAGATGATGCCAACCCCTCAGAGCACCTCAGATGATGCCAGCTCTGAAACAACATACAAAACTACCAAATTTTGCTATAAGTTTGATCGCAACATATAATCATTGCTGTTAATAGTGTAATAGTCTGTTTGATTACATGTCATTAACTAACTGCATGATTTTTACTGTACATTTCTGCTATATGGACATCAACTTGACAGTCACTATTGATATTAAATATAATGTAGAAACTATTTTGAAATGTGGTTTCAGGCTTATCTTTGGTCCGTGTTCCTATATCTCCCACCATATTGCCCTTTCCTCAACCCAAACTCTTTGCTGCATGGAGGTGGAAGGTGTACAATTACCATCCCCATAAGCATGTCACACTGTTCACGCCTTGCAATAACTGCACCGTCATGCCCGAAGGTTTTTCCCATGGTGCTTGGAACAAAGAAGATATTCACTGATCTTGATAAAAATGTATGGACAAATGTTTAGGACAGGCTTGATGTCAGTTAATTTGAGATTCTCCTTTTAGAGTAAAGTGTTTCAATGTATTGTTTGACAATGCAACCACTTTGTAAAATAAAATACTTTCCTGTATACGTGACTTTTGATGTGTTCTTTCAACATAATTTACTTGTATAAATATGTTTTATTACGGCTTTTGTGCATGTAATCTCTATTCTGATGACTGTGTCAACTGTTTTACAGTACAGTAACATTCATTCAGCACCAGGTAATTTCAAAATGAATATGTAAAACAAAGACTTAGTAGATATCATGAAAAAATGCACCACTCACTTTTGAAAATAGTACCAAAGTAATTTAAAAAAAAAAGTGTAAATGCAATCAACAAATAGGATTCTCACATTTACATCTTTCTTATCCAAGAATGTATATCTGCTAGCTGGGTGGACATGCATTATGTCATGATCTTATTTACCTGTGTTGTCCCCTTTCAATCCATAACAAATAACAATTTTCTTTTACTTTTGTTAATACATAAGTATTTCCATATGCTATGTCCACAATCTCTTTGCAAGGCAATTCAGCAGTATACACACCAATAGATAAGATTGAAGAATATAAAGGCCCCTGGGAAGATCATGCGAGAGTAGGCATCAATGGCGTGAGTGTTTTGGATGATACGGAAGCCTCGAAGGGTCTTCTTCTTGGCTCCTGTTGCCTCATTTACCAAAGACACGTGGTCCTGTTTATCTGCAGCCTCCTCAGAGGAGACAGGAGCCTGTGTATATCCTGCCAGGCCATTAGTATCAGGCTTACTGTATGCTTCATCCAGAACCATGGTCCTTGAGTGAGATATGTCACATGTGCAGGGTAAAGGCTAAAATGGAAAAGCACAAATACTTCCATTACCATTTAGAGAACTTTTAACTTGCTTCTAGGTTGTGAATATTACCTTTATACATACAAACTTTACTGAAACTATAACTACAAGAGTATGTGTTGTATGTGTTGTCAAGCCCACATAATGAAGGTGCATAAAGGAAAGTGATGGTGAAAATGATTGTTAGCTAAATAAAGAGATTATTTGAATACACTTGAAAATCATTTGTGTATTTACCTTCTCCTTTGATTTGCGATCTGTCCCATCATGCACTGTGGTCAGGTAGTTTATGACAGCATACTCAAGTACCGATAAAAAGACAAAGACGAAGCTGACCCACAGGTAAATGTCCACCGCTTTGATGTAGGAGACTCTGGGCATGGAGGCGTTCACTCCAGTGATGATGGTGGACATGGTGAGCACCGTTGTGATGCCTAGAAGAAATGACAGTAAAACACATTATATTTGCATCTAGAACTGCTTACATCAAGAATAACTGGTTGTGAAATCCTGCACCCATTTAAGCATTCAGCTAAACAATCCCACTGTTTTGCCCATTTAATTCACCTAACGAGACTCGAGCAGGAACAGCTCGCCGGTCGATCCAGAAGGACACCCATGACAGCATGACCATCAGAGTGGCAGGAAAGTACGTCTGAAGCAGGAAGAAGAAGATATGACGACGCAGACTGAAGTTGATGTAAAGACGATTGTACCAACCTGCAGGAGATATGAAATGAGAACAAGTACTAGTAAAAGAAAATGCAAAGATTTCTGATTCTGAAGTCTGTGCAAGGACTGAACTTAAATCTTATTTCTTAAGGGTACTTTTGAGCACCCAAATCTTGAAAAATGCATCTTTAATGCATCATTTATATCAAAACTCTCATCACATAATGATTTGTGTGATTGTGTGGTTTTGACATTTCTTGAAACTTGCTAGCAATTAGCTATCTCAGTGAAGTCAGTGAACTTTGAATTTGAAGATAAAATTAAAATTCTCGAACACTGACCACATTTTGGTGATACAAAAAAAAAAACTTACCTTTAAAAAAAGCTACTCTCAAATGTTTAAGTTAATTACATTTGTATAAATAGAGGAGGAACATATAAACACGGAACTATGTTGATTGCGGTGTAATGAGCATAATCGCATTACCGTAATTACTGTATTCTGTTTCCATGAGCTTCAACTTAATCACTGCCTTAATCGCATTATGCGTACATATAAAAAGAAGCAAAAAGAAGCCACTCATGACAAAGTCCAAAGTTGCTCAAACCATGTCAAATAAACGGATTTTGCCCTTTATATGCATGCAACAAAATGGGATTTGTGCAAGTTGTCTGACATACTAAACTTAAAGGTGCAAAGTGACAGCACGTCATGCACTAGTAGACAGCCTGAAACTGAAACAGAACTGCCTATAGTTTACTATTTAAAATTAGACATGCGCACCTGTGCTGCTGTAGAAGGCCAGTCTGGAGGTGGTGTGAAACTTCTGAATGAGGAACTGAGACAGAGAGATCTTGTCATCTGTGCTCAGTGATTCATCTCCACTCTTCCAGTAGAGCATCAGGTCTTCATCAGTGTAAGCATCTGGACACACAGCAGATGAACCAATGTTTGCAGAGACTGATGTGATATTTGGCATTATCATACAAAAATGAAAATTTGCTGAAAATGTACTCACTCTCAGGCCGTCCAAGATATAGATGAGTCAGTTTCTTCATCAGATTTGGAGAAATGTAGCATTGCATCACTTGCTCAGCAATGGATGCTCTGCAGTGAATGGGTGCCGTCAGAATGAGAGTCCAAACAGCTGATAAAAACATCACAATAATCCACAAGTTCTTTTCACAACATCTTGTGACAAGAAAAGCTGTGTGTTTGTAAGAAACAAATCCATCACTAAGATGTTGCAACCCTAAACATTTGCTTTTTGTCAAAATAAGATGTCTGTAATTCACAATAAGGCTTACTCTAGTGAAAAAGTCCATCCCCTGTTGTCCTCTCACATCAAAATCCACCCACATGCTTGTTTAGGACTCTTTTTGTTTGTAAATGATGCTTGATCGGTGCATATTTCTCTCCTGATTCAGATGAGATGGACCTACTTTATATAAAGTGTCCTTAATTACTATGTATTTACATTTAAATTCATTATTTGATACAATGTACTTCTTGTGTACATACATTTTTACATTGTACTTGAAAATACCATCCTGTCATGACCATACACTCTAAAAAATGCTGGGTTGTTTTAACCCAACTTTGGGTCAAATATGGACTAACCCAACTTTTGGGTTAAAAATGTAATTGAAAAATGTAACCCAACAGTTGGGTTAGTCCATATTTGACCCAAAGTTGGGTTGAAACAACCCAGCATTTTTTAGAGTGTACCTTCTACCCAAAAGAAGTAAAAGAAAAGTTTCAATTCAACATGAACACAACAGGTAAAATGTACCTAACAATTCATTACTTTATTATTAAGTACACAGAATTTAAAGACCCCTACTGTAATTTAAAGTGGGACCATTTAAAGCCATATTATGGATTATGGGCTTATTATGTATTTTAGCTGGAAGCAACAGTTTGAATTTAATAATGTTTTATTGATGGATTTGTGTCTTTTCAACACTTAGCTTTTGGCTTCACAAAATGTTAACTGATGGACTGGAGTGGTGTGGATTATTGTGATGTTTTTATCAGCTGTTTGGACTCTCATTCTGACGGCACCCATTCACTGCAGGGCATCCATTGGTGAGCAAGTGATGCAGTGCTACATTTCTCCAAATCTGATGAAGAAACAAAATCATCTACTTCTTGAATGGCCTGAGGCTGAGTACATTTTCAAGCAAATTTTCATTTTTTTGGTGAGCTACTCCTTTAAAGTCAGGAGAATTACATGTCACTCACAGCTCTCCAGCTCTAACGTGCAGGTCTGCGTGTCCAGTGGGAATCGACTGAAGTCCATATTACATGCTGAAGTTACAGTCACCCTGAAACACACAAAAAAAAGCACTGTCAAACATGATTATGACAGCAGAATAAAAACATGTATGCAAGCTTGCAGGTTAAGGTGTGCCATGCATTTGTGTAAATGATGTTTGTTGTCCAAACCTGAGGCTGTAGAGCACATGTCCATCAGGATATACCCTGATCATGATGTTCTCCGTGGTGGTGTCATGGATGAAGGATCGTTTGGAATGCACAAAGAACACATCAGGAACCCAGATTTTCTTCACCAATCGACCATCGAAAGTCATGCTTTTATTGGTTTTACTGGGAAAAGACAATCGCTCGTCCTTCCAGTAGTGTCTCAGGTATAGGGTCATGGTGAAGTCCTGTATGAAAAGTATGCCAGGGATTGACTTTCAAGATCATTGCGTATTTCTTTACTTGTTAACATAATAAATGTTCAAATACGTTCTCCTATCCCAGTTTAGCATGCTGAAATTAAGCAACTCTAAAGCTCTATCAATACATTGTTCTATTAATCTGTTCTACTCATCTTAACCAGTCTTCTAAGAAGCTTTTGTATACTGCATCTACTGTATAATTAAGCAAGAAGGTATGAGAAGCTGTGCCATATTGTGCAAAATCACAGCGAGCTGTGGACCTCTTTAGCCCCACTACCCACTATAGTGTATAAAAAACATCTGAAATCCATGTCAAACCTAGAAATAGACAAAACAGCCCCTCAAATCCCTCAACTAATGTTTTCCTCTTAATACAAAAAAATAGATGACAACATTGTCTTCCGTCTTTAGCGACAGCTCTAGAGCTCAATGAGTTCAGTTCAGTTCATATACAGGTATATCTTATATGAGGTTCAGTAGGCTCTTTGCTTACAGGGCTTAGTGAAGGTATAGTTCTCCCAAAAAATGCTAATTCTGTCCAATTTAACCAATCGGTTGTCCAATATAGTCAATAAATGAACATCTGTCACCTTTAATTCTACATGCATGGTTGTGTTTATGTTTGACTAGCTGACATGACAGTGGTCTTGTTACTAACACCATCTGATCACGTGATCTCAACCATGACGGATGTAGAATAAAACAGCTTTAACAGTGCAGTTACCATTGATGGGGTTACAAAACTAATTTGCTTAGTCCGATTGAAACCAGAAAAAAAGCTTTTATGCAAGGTGTTGACATGCATTTCTAAAGTGCTTAAAGCCTTGTGAAATATTACCATCTGTTGGCATTACTGAGGGATGTCAGCACTTTTACCAGCCTTTATCAAATGGGATGGACTGATCCTGATTGGCTGATTCTCTGTGATGCCACTGGATTATCCTCTAGCATATTATGTAAGATCAAATCCACGCTCACTCGTAAACATCGCCACTGATATGATAAATAAAAGCATATCTAGATACATCTCTGGTGCTTTCAGAAGGAAAGGTCAATCACACACGCTGAGATCCATATATAATCCATGCAATCTCCTTGATGACATTTGGACTGCAAGTAGCCTACTTTAACGGTAATAATCACATTCTCATTACAGTAATGGGCAAAAATCATACATTATGTAAATTGTAAAGTATTTATGCATCATTCTTAATTAATTAATGCTGATTTAATTAAAAAATGTACAGAAAGGAAGATTTAAATTTTTATTACAGTTTTTTTTTCTGTGCGGACAACAGTGCAAAGCGAATGGAATATGGGTTGCTGGAGTGTGTCTTTGCATTATAAATTAATGATTCATAACAATCACTGACCAAATAATGAAACTTTTCTTACCATATCTACTTCTGAGATACTGTCCAAACTCTCTACCTGTACATCCACACCTACTGGTACTGCTGGACCTGAAGAGAAGAGAACAGTATTAGTTTCAAGTTTTTTATTTATTTATATAATTTAGCATTTTTACATTTAAAGACACTTTAAAAAAAAAATAATTATTTACACATCCACCAAATAAATGACAACATATGCAGCAGGTAAAATAAGTATTGAACACGTCACCATTTTTCTCAGTTAATATACTTCTAAAGGTGCCATTGACTTGAAACTGTCACCAGATGTTGGTAACAACACAAGTAATCCATAAACTGACATGAATTAGAATTAGCATTTTTTGGGAGAACTATACCTTCACTAAGCCCTGTAAGCAAAGAGCCTACTGAACCTCATATAAGACATACCTGTATATGCAATCCAAAGAAAATAACACAAATAAGTTCAGAAATTAAGTTGTGTGTAATAAAATAGAATGACACAGGGAAAAAGGATTGAACACATGAAGAAAGGGAGGTGCAAAAAGGCATGGAAAGCAAGACACCAGCTGAAATCTATCAGTAATTAGAAAGCAATCCTGCCCCTCGTCAGTGGAAATGAATATTAGCTGCTTCAGTCCCAACACCTACAGTACCAGGATGATGAAGATGAAACGAGGCTGGACATTTCAGCAAGACAAAGACCCCAAACACAGCCAAGGAAACTCTCGATTGGTTTCAGAGAAAGAAAGTAAAGCTGCTAGAACGGCCAGCCACTCACTTGACTTGAGTCCAATAGAAAATAAGAACTTAAGTTCAGAGTTCATAGAAGAGACCCACAGAAACTTCAAGATTTGAGGACTGTTTGTGTGGAAGAATGAGTCAAAATCACTCCTGAGCAATGCATGCGACTAGTTTCTCCTACAGGAGGCGTCTTGAAGCTGTCATTACCAACAAAGGCTTTTGTACAAACTATTAAATACATTTCAGTAGTTCAATCCTTTTCCCCTGTGACATTCCATTTGAATACATATAACTTAATTTCTGAACTTATTTGTTTTGTTTTCTTTGTATGTATGGATTACTTGTATTGTTATCAACGTCTGGTGAAAGTTTCATGTCTACAGCACCTTAAGAACTATTTTACTGAGAAAAATTGTGACGTGTTCAATACTTATTTTACCTGCTATACTATGAAACCAGAAATCCTTGGCATTCAAGTGGGGTTTACTACACTCACAGAAAAAAGGTACAAAAGATGTGATGAATTTTTTATTATTTAATTTTAAAATTATTTTTTATTATTTATTTTTTGTTAGTTTTAGTAGTATTGTTATGATTTGTTGTGTTTATTATCATTATAAAATGTAATATATATATAATATTAATGTCCGTATAATTTTATTTCATTTATTTATTCTAGTACATAAACTAAACTTTAGTTGTTCTAGTATATACAATTATTTTATTTTATTTCAGTTAATGTTTGTTTTACTTCAAGTAACAAAAAATGCCTTTTTATGGTTTTAGTTTTAGTTAACTATAATAACCCTGCTTTAAGGTACTAATATGCACCTTATATGGGGTAAATAAGACCCAAAATGTACCACAATAATATAACAATAATGCCGCATAGCAAATGTACATGTATTTAGATGAAGAGAGTGTCAAAAGAACCACCTTCCAGGCCACGTCTCCAACATCTATAGTTATTTTGTCATAGTCTTGGCCTTCTCCACCTGAGCTTTGAAGCACAAAGACCTGTGAATATTGCTTGTTCTCCATAATGGATGGACAACACAAATATCCAGTCCTTGGACACCTCTTTGGCTGAATGGAAGACTGAGTATATGTGTGAAGAATGAGTGTATTCAAATGTGTCTAAACTACATTTGAAACTGGCCAGGACTGAAAATGTAAGTCATTGTTCATCTTTGTAAAACTACACAGAGTCTCTAAGCATCTGTCTGGTTCTGATAGTCTCAGACGAGGCCATTTTGCAGCCTTTCTGTAGGCATGAGTAAAACAGAAGCAGGAGCTCATACTGAAGAAGAGCCATAGCTGTGTCTTCTTCACCACCACCTCTGTGTGCACTGACCCTCTGAAGACTGCAGTTATTTAATCACCAAGAAATCTGATGCTCCAGATACTGGGCTTCTGTTGATGGAAGTGCTCTCTGTATTGTCTCCTGAAGTTCACCACAAACTCCTTGGTTTATCTCCAGACTGATTTGATCAATTTGAGGTACAGGGGTGAACTCTGTGGGCTCTAGAGTTCAGGGTCAGTGAAGATGAGATCTGACGTCCCGTTTTGACCACATATCTCTGTTGAAAAAACAACATATGCTGGTTAGGTGTGTTTTGAAGCGTGGCAGCTGGTCCTGAGCTGGTTTAAGCTGGTCCTTTGTTGGGCATGAACTGGTTTAAGCTGGTCCTTCGTTGGTCATGAGCTGGTTTAAGCTGGTCGTTCGTTGGTCATGAGCTGGTTTAAGCTGGTCCTTAGTTGGTCATGAGCTGGGTTAAGCTGGTCCTTAGTTGGTCCTGAGCTGGTTTAAGCTGGTCCTTAGTTGGTCCTGAGCTGGTTTAAGATGGTCCTTAGTTGGTCATGAGCTGGTTTAAGATGGTCCTTAGTTGGTCATAAGATGGTCCTTAGTTGGTCATGAGCTGGTTTAAGCTGGTCCTTAGTTGGTCCTGAGCTGGTTTAAACTGGTCCTTAGTTGGTCCTGAGCTAGTTTAAGCTGGTCCTTAGTTGGTCATGAGCTGGTCCTTAGTTGGTCATGAGCTAGTTTAAGCTGGTCCTTAGTTGGTCCTGAGCTGGCTTAAGCTGGTCATGAGTTGGTTTAAGAGGATTTAAGCTGGTCATGTGCTGGTCCTACGAAACTAGCTTCTGCTCAGGACCAGCTCATAACCAGTTTATAACCAGCTCAGAACCAACTTAAACCAGCTCAAACCAGCTGCCATACTTCAAAACATACCTAACCAGCATATGCTGTTTTTTTTCAACAGAGTAATGTCTGCCTGATAGGAAATTCCAAATCCTTTTCATGCCTAAACCAGACTTTGAAAATATGTGGACACGGTTATTTGTTGGTCATGAGCTGGTTTAAGCTGGTCCTTAGTTGGTCATGAGCTGGTTTAAGCTGGTCCTTAGTTGGTCCTGAGCTGGTTTAAACTGGTCCTTAGTTGGTCCTGAGCTAGTTTAAGCTGGTCCTTAGTTGGTCATGAGCTGGTTTAAGCTGGTCCTTAGTTGGTCATGAGCTGGTCCTTAGTTGGTCATGAGCTAGTTTAAGCTGGTCCTTAGTTGGTCATGAGCTGGGTTAAGCTGGTCCTTAGTTGGTCCTGAGCTGGCTTAAGCTGGTCATGAGTTGGTTTAAGATGATTTAAGCTGGTCATGTGCTGGTCCTAAGAAACTAGCTTCTGCTCAGGACCAGCTCATAACCAGTTTATAACCAGCTCAGAACCAACTTAAACCAGCTCAAACCAGCTGCCATACTTCAAAACATACCTAACCAGCATATGCTGTTTTTTTTCAACAGAGTAATGTCTGCCTGATAGGAAATTCCAAATCCTTTTCATGCCTAAACCAGACTTTGAAAATATGTGGACACGGTTATTTTTGCAGCTAACTGTATTGCATATGCATTTGTAGCTTCCCTTTCAGACACAACATTTATGGGAGGAGAGTATTTAAATAAATCATGCAACGTGATTTGCTAAGGGCTGCGTTAGTCAGTTTACTGGTATTTGCACCATTATTTAACGCCCAAAAAAGCTTTAACCTATTTTGCACCTGATTATCATTGGCTCTGCTTGTTTGCAACAATGCACTATTTTGCACTGCTCTTTGTAGATTGTGTTCGTTATTTTGGATACTTCAAAACATACCTAACCAGCATATGCTGTTTTTTTTCAACAGAGTAATGTCTGCCTGATAGGAAATTCCAAATCCTTTTCATGCCTAAACCAGACTTTGAAAATATGTGGACACGGTTATTTTTGCAGCTAACTGTATTGCATATGCATTTGTAGCTGCCCTTTCAGACACAACATTTATGGGAGGAGAGTATTTAAATAAATCATGCAACGTGATTTGCTAAGGGCTGCGTTAGTCAGTTTACTGGTATTTGCACCATTATTTAACACCCAAAAAAGCTTTAACCTATTTTGTACCTGATTATCATTGGCTCTGCTTGTTTGCGACAATGCACTATTTTGCACTGCTCTTTGTAGATTGTGTTCGTTATTTTGGAAGCGATCTGGTTGCGTCTGTGTTCCCTGTTGAAAAAAACAGCATATGCTGGTTAGGTATGTTTTGAAGCATGGCAGCTGGTTTAAGCTGGTTCTGAGCCAAAGCTAGTTGCTTAGGACCAGCACATGACCATCTTAAACCAGCTCAGGACCAGCTTAAACCAGCTCATGACCAACTAAGGACCAGTTCATGACCAACTAAGGACCAGCTTAAACCAGCTCATGACCAACTAAGGACCAGCTCATGACCAACTAAGGACCATCTTAAACCAGCTCATGACCAACTAAGGACCATCTTAAACCAGCTCATGACCATCTTAAACCAGCTCATGGCCAACAAAGGACCAGCTTAAACCAGCTCAGGACCATCTTAAACCAGCTTATGACCAACAAAGGACCAGCTTAAACCAGCTCAGGGCCAACAAAGGACCAGCTTAAACCAGCTCATGACCAACTAAGGACCATCTTAAACCAGCTCATGACTAACTAAGGACCATCTTAAACCAGCTCATGACCATCTTAAACCAGCTCATGGCCAACAAAGTACCAGCTTAAACCAGCTCAGGACCATCTTAAACCAGCTCATGACCAACAAAGGACCAGCTTAAACCAGCTCAGGACCAACAAAGGACCAGCTTAAACCAGCTCATGACCAACTAAGGACCATCTTAAACCAGCTCATGACTAACTAAGGACCATCTTAAACCAGCTCATGACTAACTAAGGACCATCTTAAACCAGCTCATGACTAACTAAGGACCATCTTAAACCAGCTCATGACTAACTAAGGACCAGTTTAACCCAGCTCATGACCAACTAAGGACCATCTTAAACCAGCTAATGACTAACTAAGGACCATCTTAAACCAGCTCATGACTAACTAAGGACCATCTTAAACTAGCTCATGGCCAACAAAGGACCAGCTTAAACCAGCTCAGGACCAACAAAGGACCATCTTAAACCAGCTCATGACCATCTAAGGACCAGCTTAAACCAGCTCAGGACCAACTAAGGACCAGCTCAAACCAGCTGCCATACTTCAAAACTTACCAAACCAGCAGATGCTGTTTTTTTTCCAAAAGGGTTCTTAAATTCGAACAGAACTTTCCACTCCTATCTGCGCTTTTATGGGACTGCGCTCTCAGGCTAATTTGACCTGTTTAGTAAATCTGGTCCTTGATATTTTAATACATGCCGGACCACATACAGGGAGAGGAAGTGACTTGATGTATAAGAAATTACAAAACAACTCAATATAGTGTACAATCTCCCAGTCACACCAGAAATGACCAAAAAACGCCGCTCTTCTGCTTTTTCCTGGAAGGTCTTTGGCTTGATGATGGAGTTCTCTGGACATATTCAAGCACATTGCAGCAACTCGGTTCTCATTGAGAAGAGATTTGCAACCTTAAATTGCAAAGCTTATTATCTAGTGAATGCACATTTGCTGGAAGAATTTTCTGGCTGTGCTTTTGTAGTCATAACCAGCAGTCCAGAAAAAGGGCTCCAATTCCATCTTTGTAAACAATAGATCGACATTGGGGAACTTCTATGCTATTTCTAAAAGTGCTTGTCAGTCGTAGATGATATCCAGCACAAAAGCCACAATAATTACATTGAGTCAGAGCTTGCAGTCACACTCAGCGTTATCATTGCCCTCCTGAGAAACAACTACATTTTTTTTAGATAAAACCCCCACTGGGATTGACGTTCAGGTTGTGAATTTGAATCGGACTGCTGTGATAATGAAAACTGGGAAAAAGTCAGAAGCAAAAGCAATGTGTAAATTAGAAAAGCCTTCACAACATCAGCGAGTAATCGCACACCCCAGTGAGCGCTGCTGGTTCAATTAACAGTAAGTGTAACTTCCAGCCATCCAGACACTGCCTAGAAGAGATCAATCATCAAATCTCTGCAGGAACAATGAGACTCGAGCGAGAAGCTCCAGACATCAGCAGCTGAGAAGCTTCAGCAGAAGGTGTGATAGTGACGCAGATGAGACGTGGGGAAGGATTTGGACAACAAATGAGACCAAGAAAGACTTTAATTACAAAGTGATACATGTGGCACTGATCAAACTATATAACACATCAGCCTGGGTAAATCGCAAGCTTACAATATGAAAATTCATTATCAAAATATTCATTATTATTGGTTTAAAAATATGATAATCTAAACAAAGGCAGTTAGGGACTGTCAAAAGTTTCACATCACTTTCACATAATAAATATTGAAATGTCGATTCAAAAAAACATAAAATATTTCAGAATTTATTGTGACATTCCCATGTATTGCAATCATTTTAAATGACAAAACATTTTCCCAGTTTGTTTAACTGTTTTTACTGTACTCATTGTACTTGGTTACCAAGAAGATAACAGTGAAGACCTTGAAATTAAATATGAGACACATGATGTGTGAGGAAAACATATGCAATCACTTGATGTTTAAGAAAAATGTTTATTGTTCATCATTTCCAAACTGTAATTCTTTCAAATTACTGAAATGTGCAATATTTAAGATATTGTATTTGAGATCATTAAAATGCTATAGCTATAAAATTTGTCTTAACAGTTCAACTGTTAAGTGTTTAAGTGATTTAAACAAAAGTGTTTAAAAAATATTGTATTTTCTAAAGGTTCAAAGAGCCAGCTGTGTCCTCGAGACACCCACCTATGGGTGGTGTCACTAAAATATATAAAAAATTCCTACGGGTCTTTAAGATATGCTTTGTTCTCTTTAAGCAATTTTGGGGCAAAATATGAGTCTTCACATGTTTTGTAACTTTCACTATGGAATTTTGCTAAAATAGAAAAAAATCAATGATGATGATGATGATAAACTGATGAACATGTATAAATCTGTTCATAAAACTGACATTATTCGCACAATTGCAGGCCATAAATATCATATAAATAATGCAAATGACCCGGAGCTCATCTGTGAAAGATCACAGCTGAAAAGTGTGGACATACTCTTTAATATTAATATTCACTCTAAAAAATGCTGGGTTAAATATAACCTCGTACAATAAAAATAATTTAAAAATGCATAAGAAATAGACTACAATATATAAAAAATTCCTACGGGTCTTTAAGATATGCTTTGTTCTCTTTAAGCAATTTTGGGGCAAAATATGAGTCTTCACATGTTTTGTAACTTTCACTATGGAATTTTGCTAAAATAGAAAAAAATCAATGATGATGATGATGATGATAAACTGATGAACATGTATAAATCTGTTCATAAAACTGACATTAATATCATATAAATAATGCAAATGACCCGGAGCTCATCTGTGAAAGATCACAGCTGAAAAGTGTGGACATACTCTTTAATATTAATATTCACTCTAAAAAATGCTGGGTTAAATATAACCTCGTACAATAAAAATAATTAAAAAATGCATAAGAAATAGACTACAATTAGTATGGGTTGACAATATACTGTATATGGCAAACCAATTTTTTTGTGATTTTTCATGCCACTAACACACTCACACACACACACACTCACTCTCACTCTCTCACACACACACACACACACACACTCACACTCACTCTCACTCTCACGCACACGCTCACGCACATGCACACACTCACTCACTCACGCTCATGCACACGCACACACTCACTCACTCACACTCACACTCACACACACACACACACACACACACTTACTCACACACACACACACACACACACACTTACTCACACACACACACACACACACACACTTACTCACACACACACACACACACACACACTTACTCACACACACACACACACACACACACTTACTCACACACACACACACACACACACACTTACTCACACACACACACACACACACACACTTACTCACACACACACACACACACACACACTTACTCACACACACACACACACACACACACTTACTCACACACACACACACACACACACACTTACTCACACACACACACACACACACACACTTACTCACACACACACACACACACACACACTTACTCACACACACACACACACACACACACTTACTCACACACACACACACACACACACACTTACTCACACACACACACACACACACACACTTACTCACACACACACACACACACACACACTTACTCACACACACACACACACACACACACTTACTCACACACACACACACACACACACACTTACTCACACACACACACACACACACACACTTACTCACACACACACACACACACACACACTTACTCACACACACACACACACACACACACTTACTCACACACACACACACACACACACACTTACTCACACACACACACACACACACACACTTACTCACACACACACACACACACACACACTTACTCACACACACACACACACACACACACTTACTCACACACACACACACACACACACACTTACTCACACACACACACACACACACACACTTACTCACACACACACACACACACACACACACACACACACACAGGGATTTTACCTGCAAATGCTGGTCTCATAGTGAAGTCATGATCATCAACACGCAGCAGATGGTCTGATTTCACCTGATGCGTCTTAGTTTGATCCAGCATCTTCTTGAAAAGTGGACTGCAAAAGAACATCTTCAGTGCAATCTCATACACACACAGACGTCTCATGAGCACAACTATTATTCACCACTCAATCTTCAAGTTTTGAAGCAAAAACAACCTATTTAACAGTAATAAAATAAAACTGTAGAATTAATTGCACTAAACATTAAGTAGTATTTTTATATGCACACTAGTATCTATTAGCAGTTTTAACCAAACTGTATTAGTATTTCCAATAAATAATAAAAGCACTCTGGGCATTTATTAATAGAAATATTATGATTTAGAATTTAAAACATTCATGAACTCCATTCTTTTCAGTAAAATGTTTGTTCCTGAAATGTGAAATAAGTCAACCAGATTTTTTATTTTTGTAAAAAAGAGGCTAAATAAAATGTAAAAAAGACAGTAAACATAAACTGTACATAACCTTCAGTGGTTTGCAGTTAATTACAGTTGCACTGTTCTCTGGTTTAGCTGTCACGTATAGTTTTCACAATGACAACCTTTTAAACCCTTAAACTGCATAGTGAACTGCCTAGTTTGGTAGTTTTCTGAGCAGAATTTAAACTATAAAACAATTATGCAGAATTTAATTGATGAAAAAGCAAAATATATAAGGACACCATTACCATTATTTTGCCAGCACAGACAGTAATTTGCCTAATGTATTTTATTTTTTTTAAATGCACCATTTAAGAAAATGTATCAAAACTTACAAAACCACAAGCATTTTTATAATTAGACTTTATAATTAATTTATAATTAAACTGAAATAATAAGTTGAAAGCGTGTGACACTCACGTTCCGTGTTTGTGATGTTGTACAGATGTTCTCCGGAGGTTGTGCTTCATCTTCCCGCACACACTTGCGCACAGCAGAAGAAAAACAGCTTTGACAAAGCCAGACATTGTGAAGGAAAGACTAGACAGTCACCCGCGCTGGAGAGCATCTCGTCTTCCAGTCTGCGTTCATTCCGAGTGAAGGGAGTTCTGCTGAACCTGGAGCTGCACGCGCTCTGATTGGTCAAGCACATCGCGATTATTTACAACGATGCATCGAGTCATTTCAACGCTCAGTACTTACTGTCAGACGCGTCGAGTCGAACACGCAGGGGTGTCGAGACGCACGCGTTTCAAAATACAAACTATTGTAACCCGTTTAACCCCACATTTTTCCCAGACATGAAAATATCCACATGATGTGTCATTAGTAACCCTTTGAAATAATCAATCATTCGTTTTTGAATTTGTTTTGGAAAAGTGTGTGAAAAATTGTATTTTATGGTCGTGACCTGTGGGATTTATGTTTATAGCCTACTGAATTAACATATTTCTGCAGTCATAAAAAATATGATATCTTAGCCCAGCTATTTTAAGCTGTTTGATCACATTCTAGGGTTGCTATTATGCATAAGACCCTTATAAAACATTGACGGAATACTGAGATAAAAGACAAAAATACAATAAAATACAACCATCAACATATTTCAAAATTATTATCACATATATCATATAATTTAATCTGAATCTTTTAATGATCATCCATGCTTAACTGTATACCCTGCAAAAAGTTATTTTATATAAAAGTATTTTCTGGTTTTCTAGTATACTGTAAATAAAGTAACATTCTTGAATCTAGATGCATTTACTTGACAAGTAAAATGACTTGTTTTCTAAAAATAAATCCAAATTTTGCTAGTTTTTGCTTAAAACAAGCAAACATTTCTGCTAATGTAGTAAGAAAAATGATCTTAATTCAAAGGCTAAACAAGATTATTTTTCTTGCCCCATTGGCAGATATTTTTGCTTGTTTTAAGCAAAAACTAACAACATTTTGATATTTTTTTCAAAAAAAGAAACCTCAATCTTACGTCATTTACTTGCAAAATAATTGCATCTTGATTCAATAATGTTTAGATATTTATACTTGAAAACAAGGTAACACTTTATTTTGATAGTCCACTTTAGACATTCAACTAATAGTAAGTAACTTTGCAGGAAAACGGTCAAACTCAACTGTTTAACTCTAGGGGAGTCGGAAAATGAGCCTATTTTTTTTTAAATAATGGAGTGTTCCTTTAATGTCTTCTAACACTTTACTTTGATGGGTCCACAACATACAACACACTGACTGTCAACTTATTCTACTAACCCTAAACCTAACCTAATATTGTATTCTGAGAGTTAGTAGACATGTAGTTGCCAGGTTACTTATAGTTAGTATTATGTCTAAATTGGACTATCAAAATAAAGTGTAACCGAAAACAAGACAAAAATAATAAGTACAAAAATCATTTTTTGCAGATATCACAATCACAGATCACACTGCCCCACATTAAATGCCTTATATGTTGATATTATATGTAAATGATGTAGCACAATTTTACACAATCTTAAAGCCAGCTAATTTATCCAGGGTAAATGCACAAAGATAAAAATACTACATTCAGTTCTTGTGCCATAGTCTTTCTCTATGTTAGCATGCTCCCTAGATATGGCTCATCCACCCTTTAGTGTAAGTCTATAGGATTTCCCCCGTTCAGCTAACAGTCTGATAAGTTAGACATGTAACAACCCTCCATGCCACACAATTTAGGGCACCGTTCATATCCATATCATAAATGCTGCAGGGACAAGTTGTATAACTTGTTTAATATTATTACTTCAATGCTACAAAGTGCTTCCTCTTCAAGTGAAAAGAGCAAACAGTTATGGTTGAATCAAGTTTATTGCATTATTTGTCCTTTTAAACATTAGGCTAGAGCAACTACGGGTTGTTGTTTAAAGAAGTAAAACAGATGTTTTAGTTGATGTTTTAGATGTCTATCTACATAGGGCCAACATTAATTTTGTCTACAGTACTGATTCAAGATTACACAATGAGGAAAAAAAATTAACTTAAATGATTTTAGCAAATGACTGCAATATAACAAAGAGTGAAAAATTTAAGGGGGTCTGAATACTTTCCGTACCCACTGTATATATAAATACACACACATACAGTATATATTTTGAAAATATTTACACGTATTTACATGTCTATATAATTTATATTATACAGTATATAAATATATTTAATATTTAAACAACATTTTTCTGATATATGCGCATGTGAGTATTTATATATACATAAAAATATATACAGTACACATATACAGTATATACATATATTATGTAAACAAACTTTTTTTGGATGCGATTAATCATTTGACAACACTAATATATATATATATGCTTGTAAAAAAATAAAAAAATTAAATAAAACCGTAAGAGTCTTAACTGGTTGAACGTTTTCTGAAAATTAGCAGATGATTCATTAACATACATCATTGCTCTATGTGCATATGTTTTTAACTGTTTAATAGTATCACAACCATGCCTACATTACAGCATTTTAAGAGTATGTAAATGTTTAATTCTGGGATAGACAAACACACAACAGAAGCAATTCAATTTCTACAGGTTTCAGTTTTTTAGTTTGTTTCAGTCTAAGACCAAATTTTGTACAATTTGCAACAACAGACTTTCTGAAATGCATTATTTGGGAAACCGTACATAAACAATACATTGCAGAATCTAAAAACAAACCACTCATAAACATGTCTTGGTCATATTTCACCCCAAAATGGCATTGAATTTTATGAATTATATTTTGCGTAAAGAAAGCAGGAACATTACGCCCAAATTCTTATTACATGCAAAACAATCTAATTACAGTAATATGTCCAGATGAGCTGCTTTTTAAAAAAAAAAAAAAATCTTCTTAAATTAAAAGGCAGTACAATTACTACCATGATGCATAAATACTTCACAGTTAAAATAGTACATATACAGTATAATTACAGTATTAAGAACACATTACAGTAATAAGAATTTACTTTTTGAGTGGAATAATTGCCATGAAACATTACAATGCAAACAAACAAACAAAAAATCTTAATGGCCCAAAAACAGATTTTACTGTCTTCTTGTGAAATATAATTTTGCATTTTTTGGGGTGAAATCAGACCATGGCGTGTTCTTGACAAGCGTACTGAGATTTGCCCCTCCAGGTTTTGTTCTGCGAATACATCCGGAAATCTTTTCCCCTTCTGAAAACACAAAGCTCTGTCCAGGAAGGACAAACATGAGACCGGGGGTGAGCTGGATCTGGACGAGGGCAGAGCGACAGTCGTGCTTTTCAAGTGCTGTAGGAAGAGTTCACAGCTCGTAATCGAACTTATACTCGTGGGCCAAATAGATCCTGCGGAAAATGAGCGCAGCTAGCGCGAGTGTGAGGAGAACGATGAGGACGACCGAGGCCGTGTGACTGGTGTCCTGCAGGGGGGGCTGCGCGGCGGGGGACGCCGTGAACGCCGGGTATCTCGGGGACTGGCTCTGGTTCTGCGAGCGCCGCTGAAGTGGACTCGGAGCCGCTGGAATGGACGGACCCTCACTTGATGTCTGAGGAGCCACAGATGATGATTCGGCCTAGACCAGAACAAAGAGACTGAAGCTGATTACATTACATTTTCACACTACAGCTCTGGAGTACGATGCACGATACTATCGGCCTGATATCGGAATCGGCCAAAATATTGGCTTTAAATGTAAATATCGGCATCGGCCCGATATGACAAATTATGCCGATATGTCTTGCCGATAAGAGGAATGTGTTAACTCACATGTGCTCAGGGTGTGCTAGCGATTAGATCACGTCAGCAGTGTGGCTCATTCTTGAAGCAAAGTTTTGTATGAATGATGATTAGATTGACTGTTTTGGATCGCTGCATTTAATCTGTGAAAGCAGATTTGGTGTGTGATAAACAGTAACAGCACGTGCAGCGGCAGCCTCCCCCGGGTCCTAACGCCCATTCGGTAAAGAGTTTTAATTCTGTAGGGGGCGCTGTTGGCTTACTTCTAATGAAATGAAAGTAAAATACACCAATAACATTTAGACTGTGCTTCTGATTTAAAAAAAATCAAACATGACACTTGTAAAATTAATTTGATATATACCGATTTATTCATTAATGTGTAATATGTTTTATTTTTTTAAACAAAATCATAAGCTCTAAAATAAAAACTCTTTTGCTTTAAACCATCTACAAATGTTAAATCTTAAAATAAAATGTTAATGTTACCACTGCATCTCTTTGGGAAAAAAAAGGCAGCGATTGATATATAGTTTATTTAGGCTATAGTTATTTTCAAAGCTTCAATGTACTGTCAAAAAAACCTTCATTGTTGTTTATTTAATGTTATTCCATGGTCTGTCTGAATACTGGATTCTGATTGGCTGGCAGGTATGCAGTAAAACCGTTTAATGCACAGGTAGTTCCAAGTCAGTTTAATCACCGTTCCATATTAATGCGCTGCTTTAATTGATGCACACTAACCAACATGCATCACACGCACACAGAGAGAGAGAGAGAGACGAGAGAGACGAGAGAGACGAGAGAGAGAGAGAGAGAGAGATTGCTGATTGCTTTGCACACACACACATACTTGTTGTCAACACTTCCCCGTGATTTTCATTAATAAAATAGTCTACTAGATCGCTACATTATATTCCTCAGCAACGAGGTGCTAAAATCGCTGTTTTTAAAGTAATTGTTTGGACAGAAAGACACCCAGACGCAGCTACACACAACTGTCATCTCTCTCTCTCTCTCTCTCTCTCTCTCTCAAACAATCGATCGATAGTTAATTGAAATACATGCTATAATTCATTCAAATAAATGTGGCACTATTTCTCGATAGTTAATTGAAATACATGCTATAATTCATTCAAATAAATGTGGTCTTACCGCACTATTTCATCTCTGTGTCTGATTTGAAGCGGGCAGAATGCTAGCGCTAACATGCCGTGACGAAAATAACTGTCATTTTTACCCATTCGGTCAAATATTGCGCTGCAAAGAGCAATACTAGTTTTAACTTGTCTATAACTTGGCAAATGACCATGGAATAAGCGGGATAATCAATGGCTGGCCGTGCATTAAAGGATTTTAAATGCACTTCACGTCGGGTGGTTCTTTGCCTCCACGTCGTGCATTTAAAATCCCACCGGCTAGCCGTTGATTATCCCTTACCTAACAAATAAGTTCTTGTAAAAACTAACCAAAATTAAAAATATTTTGCTTATAATTTCTGCACAGGAGAGACTTGGTGTTGTTTCCAAAAAAAAGGAAACATGTCGGTATCGGTCAAAAAGAGTTGAAAAATATCGGCAAAAATCCAATATCGTGCATCCCTACTCTGGAGTCAATGAAAATCTACCAGTTTCCTCATCGTAGTATTTCCCAACCCTCCCCGGCAGCAGAATGAACAGGAAATGATGCAAGCTAACACGGTGAGAGTGCTTGAGTGTTTGTCCCACCTGCTCAGCGGATGCCGTGTCTTCTGCGTCTCTCTCTGCTGTAGCGGAGCTCTCACTGTTACTGGAAGCCGCTGCCACTGAACTGCCACTGTCTGCAGCCGATGAGCTGGATTCAGCCTGATGACACAGATTTTTCACAATAAAGTCATGAGAATTGGGCGGTAAATGTGCTTAACCATCACAATGCAAAAAGTCTTAACGGACCTATACTGGCTTAAGGCAATAACATTACAGGTAATAACATCCTGCACTGGTCAGTTTTGAGATATAGATGTTTATTTCACTGCACTTTATCTGCTTGCATCTGTAGATTTAAATTAAACACACACTGAAAGGCTATTTTTCTCCTGCATTGAGCTAGAAATCTCTACATCAGCAGCACTTTGAAGGATCTGAGGATGCTCAAATGCAGCCTGTGTGTGTTTTGCTTCAAGCGAGCAACCATGCATTTGTGTTGTGTTTTACTTTCTTTCTTTTATTCATTCATTCATTCATTCATTTATAATCATTTATTATTTAATCATTTTATTATTCCATTCAATCATATACTCATTATAATCATTTATATATTAATTTCATTGATTCATTAATTGATTAGTCATTTATATTATATTATATTATGTTCTATTCTATAGTTTTTTTTATATATTATTCTTCCATTGTTGTTTAGTCTTATGACCATGTGCTTTGAAGGGCTGTTTGTCTTCATGAATAAGAGATATGAGGGAATGTTTATGGAAACTCAATACTTGTTGAATTTCTGCTGGTCAGACGAAGTGTGTGCAATGAAACATACACAACTAAGACTATAAAAATTAACTCTGCTCCTTTTTATCATCACTTCGTCTCCTGCTTCTGCTCTTCACTGGCTTTTTCCTCAGTCAACTTCTTGGCTGATAGAAGACTGTTAATAGAGTTTTGGGTATTTACCAGACAAGACTTCCTGTTAACGGGTTTTGGGTATTGGACTACTTTGCTGAAGAGTTGTTCTGTTACCAGACAAAACTGATATTTTCTGACGGGATCTGGCATGGAGCCATGATCTAACAACTTGTATACACCAAACTTTATTCCTATCTACATTCTGGAGCTTTTACAGAGGGGTTTATATATACAGTATATATACATATACAGTATATATACACACACACATATATATATATATATATATATACACACACAGTATATATACACATATATATATATATATACACACATATATATATATATATATATATATACACAGTATATATATATATATACACACAGTATATATATATATATATACACACAGTATATATAC